CATATCTACGTATTATAAATGATAAAGAATGCTAATATAGATATAAAATCCAAATTTTTTTGAAAGTAGCCTACTTTGATCAAAACCAAAAATGCTTTAAATTTCATATTAAAACATATCTACGTATTATAAATGATATTAAATGGTAATACAGATATAAAATCGATATTTTTTTGAAAGTAGCCTATTATGATCAAAACCAAAAATGCTTAAAATTGCATTCTAAAACATATCTAGGTATTATAAATGATAAAGAATGGTAATATAGATATAAAATCGAAATTTTTTTGAAAAGAGCCTACTATGATCAAAACCAAAAATGCTTTAAATTGCATTTTAAAACATATCTAGGTATTATAAATGATAAAGAATGCTAATATAGATATAAAATCGAAATTTTTTTGAAAAGAGCCTACTATGATCAAAACCAAAAATGCTTTAAATTGCATTTTAAAACATATCTAGGTATTATAAATGATAAAGAATGCTAATATAGATATAAATAAAATCGAAATTTTTTTGAAAGTAGCCTACTATGATCAAAACCAAAAATGCTTTGAATCTCATTTTAAAACATATCTACGTATTATAATTGATAACCAATGCTAATATAGATATAAAATCGAAATTTTTTTTGAAAGTAGCCTACTATGATCAAAACCAAAAATGCTTTAAATTTCATATTAAAACATATCTACGTATTATAAATGATATTAAATGGTAATACAGATATAAAATCGATATTTTTTTGAAAGTAGCCTATTATGATCAAAACCAAAAATGCTTAAAATTGCATTTTAAAACATATCTAGGTATTATAAATGAAAAAGAATGCTAATATAGATATTAAATCGAAATTTTTTTGAAAGTAGCCTACTGTGATCAAAACCAAAAATGCTTTAAATTGCATTTTAAAACATATCTACGTATTATAAATGTTAAAGAATGCTAATATAGATATAAAATTGAAATTTTTTTGAAAGTAGCCTACTGTGATCAAGACCAAAAATGCTTTAAATTGCATTTTAAAACATATCTAGGTATTATAAATGAAAAAGAATGCTAATATAGATATTAAATCGAAATTTTTTTGAAAGTAGCCTACTGTGATCAAAACCAAAAATGCTTTAAATTGCATTTTAAAACATATCTACGTATTATAAATGTTAAAGAATGCTAATATAGATATAAAATCGAAATTTTTTTGAAAGTAGCCTACTGTGATCAAGACCAAAAATGCTTTAAATTTCATTTTAAAACATATCTACATATTATAATTGATAACCAATGCTAATATAGATATAAAATCGAAATTTTTTTGAAAGTAGCCTACTGTGGTCAGAACCAAAAATGCTTTAAATTGCATTTTAAAACATATCTAGGTATTATAAATGATAAAGAATGCTAATATAGATATAAAATCGAAATTTTTTTGAAAGTAGCCTACTATGATCAAAACCAAAAATGCTTTAAATTGCATTTTAAAACATATCTACGTATTATAAATGTTAAAGAATGCTAATATAGATATAAAATTGAAATTTTTTTGAAAATAGCCTACTGTGATCAAGACCAAAAATGCTTTAAATTTCATTTTAAAACATATCTACGTATTATAAATGATAACAAATGGTAATACAGATATAAAATCGATATTTTTTTGAAAGTAGCCTACTGTGATCAAAACCAAAAATGCTTTAAATTGCATTTTAAAACATATCTAGGTATTATAAATGAAAAAGAATGCTAATATAGATATTAAATCGAAATTTTTTTGAAAGTAGCCTACTGTGATCAAAACCAAAAATGCTTTAAATTGCATTTTAAAACATATCTACGTATTATAAATGTTAAAGAATGCTAATATAGATATAAAATTGAAATTTTTTTGAAAGTAGCCTACTGTGATCAAGACCAAAAATGCTTTAAATTTCATTTTAAAACATATCTACGTATTATAAATGATAACAAATGGTAATACAGATATAAAATCGATATTTTTTTGAAAGTAGCCTATTATGATCAAAACCAAAAATGCTTAAAATTGCATTTTAAAACATATCTAGGTATTATAAATGAAAAAGAATGCTAATATAGATATTAAATCGAAATTTTTTTGAAAGTAGCCTACTGTGATCAAAACCAAAAATGCTTTAAATTGCATTTTAAAACATATCTACGTATTATAAATGTTAAAGAATGCTAATATAGATATAAAATCGAAATTTTTTTGAAAGTAGCCTACTGTGATCAAGACCAAAAATGCTTTAAATTTCATTTTAAAACATATCTACATATTATAATTGATAACCAATGCTAATATAGATATAAAATCGAAATTTTTTTGAAAGTAGCCTACTGTGGTCAGAACCAAAAATGCTTTAAATTGCATTTTAAAACATATCTAGGTATTATAAATGATAAAGAATGCTAATATAGATATAAAATCGAAATTTTTTTGAAAGTAGCCTACTATGATCAAAACCAAAAATGCTTTAAATTGCATTTTAAAACATATCTAGGTATTATAAATGATAACAAATGCTAATATAGATATAAAATCGAAATTTTTTTGAAAGTAGCCTACTATGATCAAAACCAAAAATGCTTTAAATTTCATTTTAAAACATATCTAGGTATTATAAATGATAACAAATGGTAATATAGATATAAAATCGAAATTTTTTTGAAAATAGCCTACTATGATCAAAACCAAAAATGCTTTAAATTGCATTTTAAAACATATCTAGGTATTATAAATGATAACAAATGCGAATATAGATATAAAATCGAAATTTTTTTGAAAGTAGCCTACTGTGATCAAAACCAAAAATGCTTTAAATTTCATATTAAAACATATCTACGTATTATAAATGATATTAAATGGTAATACAGATATAAAATCGATATTTTTTTGAAAGTAGCCTATTATGATCAAAACCAAAAATGCTTAAAATTGCATTTTAAAACATCTAGGTATTATAAATGAAAAAGAATGCTAATATAGATATTAAATCGAAATTTTTTTGAAAGTAGCCTACTGTGATCAAAACCAAAAATGCTTTAAATTGCATTTTAAAACATATCTACGTATTATAAATGTTAAAGAATGCTAATATAGATATAAAATTGAAATTTTTTTGAAAGTAGCCTACTGTGATCAAGACCAAAAATGCTTTAAATTTCATTTTAAAACATATCTACGTATTATAAATGATAACAAATGGTAATACAGATATAAAATCGATATTTTTTTGAAAGTAGCCTATTATGATCAAAACCAAAAATGCTTAAAATTGCATTTTAAAACATATCTAGGTATTATAAATGAAAAAGAATGCTAATATAGATATTAAATCGAAATTTTTTTGAAAGTAGCCTACTGTGATCAAAACCAAAAATGCTTTAAATTGCATTTTAAAACATATCTAGGTATTATAAATGAAAAAGAATGCTAATATAGATATTAAATCGAAATTTTTTTGAAAGTAGCCTACTGTGATCAAAACCAAAAATGCTTTAAATTGCATTTTAAAACATATCTAGGTATTATAAATGAAAAAGAATGCTAATATAGATATTAAATCGAAATTTTTTTGAAAGTAGCCTACTGTGGTCAGAACCAAAAATGCTTTAAATTGCATTTTAAAACATATCTAGGTATTATAAATGATAAAGAATGCTAATATAGATATAAAATCGAAATTTTTTTGAAAGTAGCCTACTATGATCAAAACCAAAAATGCTTTAAATTTCATTTTAAAACATATCTAGGTATTATAAATGATAACAAATGGTAATACAGATATAAAATCGAAATTTTTTTGAAAGTAGCCTACTATGATCAAAACCAAAAATGCTTTAAATTGCATTTTAAATCATATCTAGGTATACAAGGTATTTCACCGTTCTAGTTACGAAGCTTTTTTCGTGCGTTGGGTGGAGTATTGATGTCTTTGGCATTGAATATGCCTCCTTTGCTAGGTATACGAGAATATACTAGCATCTGGATGACTTCCTTACGGCATCTTGCGCACACGAATTGTGACTAGGTACATTGCAGGGTTCATCAGGTCTTATGACGTACTCGTGTCTTTGCAATGTGCAGAGCTTGCAAGTGGTTCGGATCCCAAAGTAAACTGTAGGTCTTAAGGGTGTGATACAATAGATTCTGTTCTTATTTGAATCGCAGTGAATCCAGCTGAAAGCTGGGCCCTTCACACATTATTATTATTATTATTATTATTTATTCACACCGTTTTTACGTGTGAATCTAATAGTTTTGTTCAGATTGAAAAATCAGTTTTTAAGATATTGTCATATGCTGAGCAAAGCTCAGCTGACTCGCTAGCTTTATACCTTCAAACTTATGCTGAGCGAAGCTCTTCTTACTCGTCAAGCTTAATACCTTCAAATTTATGCTCAGCGAAGCTCAGCTGACTCTCTAGCTTTATAACTTCAAACTTATGGTAAGCGGTCTAGTTTACAAACATATGCTGTGCAATAGCACAGCTGATCGATGAAGACTTTCTATGGTAAGAGTCCATAGTCGCTAATGCTGTGACTCGTCTAGCTTTATACCTCCAAATATTAACTGAGCGCAGCTAAGCTGGTTCGTCAAGATTTATACTTTAAAATTAATACTGAGCTAAGCTTGGTCTTTCCACAAGACTTTTGGTGGTACGGTGTGAATATATATATAAGAACTGTAATCTAACATAAGTCAAACGCGGAAGCTAGTGACTTTCTACGTAAGTCGTGTTTTTTTTTATAATTTTACTCAACAATGCTGGCGTCATTATTTTTTCTCTCATCTTCTCACTCAAACGATCAACTTATTTTGTTTACAAGCATCGCAAAGGAAGGAAAAGAAAAATTGAGAAAATTTTCTGAAACGATGAAAAATGAACAGCGCGAGAGAGAAAAAAATTTGTTAGGAATGTGTGCGAAAAGCTTTCATTATGTGAGGCCTATAAAAGAATGATGATCATTCATTAAACAGGTATTTTCTCTTCGTACTCCAATCTTGTTTGAAGTTTAAGCAGTTCCAGTGCGTAAGGAAGTTCCTTTTGAAGTGAAAAATTCATTCTTGTTTGTTGAAAAATAATTAATAATGCCTCCATCCAGACCATTGTGGCAAGTAAGTGCAAATTGAAATTGTGTTGTTTATAAAAAACAGTTTGTTTTGTGTATATACACACCAGCTGGTTAATCATGGTGATTTGTCATTTCGAGCGAGGAAAATTTTCTCAATTTTCTATTTTGGATTATTTTAGCCATAAAAGGAAAGAAATGAGAAGTTTGTGATGAAAGTGAGATCTGATTCATTGACTGTAGAATGTATTTTGATTCTTGAATCTGGTTTCTGCATTTATTAAGTGTTTTAAAGCTAGTTGATTAATTCTGCATTGTTTTATGACTCGGGGTATGTTGATAGAGTGCATATAGGTTGGGCTAAGGTCCAGTTTATTCAGAAATCTTTAAGTTTAATCTCTCTACACATCATAAGTAATCCATCCCACACAAAAACCGAATTATAATTTTGAAACAACGAAAAAAACACACTCGAGACCAAATATATACATTTTCTGGGGATCGAACTCGAGCTCACTTTCATTTTTTCACTTTTCTATTTTTAAAAACAAATTTCATGAATTTATTTTAAGAAAATTGAGTGAGATTATAAATATGAGTAATGTAAATATTTTTGGATCAAATTCATTATATGAGGCATGAAAGGGAATGTAAACAGCAAGATCAGAGTTCAATAGAATCTAGAAAGTCGTTAAGAAAATTTTGCGGAAAAAATTTCATTTCATTTTCAAGAGCTATAAAAATTCTTTTATGATGAGCAAATCGCAATACAGTGGAAGCAGTTAAAATGTATTTCAACATGTGGCTTATTATTTGCGAAAAATGCTAGGTTTATAGGTAGATTTTGTTAGAATTTTGGTTTTGGCGGGGTTTGAAAATGTCAAATTTCATTGTTTTTGTCAAGGAACTGTTTAAAATTGATCAAAACATGATTAACTAGTTTCGCACCGTTGATTTTAGATTGGTTTGGGAATTCAAACCGTCAACATCAACAAATCTTTTATTCTCAATTTATTATTGACTATAAAAGCTACAACGAAACTGATACAAACACAGTGTAGGTTGAATGTTTACCATGTAAATATTCTAAGTAGTAGACTTAAATGTTCAATTTAATTGAAATTGCATCAAATATCAATTGAAAATGAGGTTAGTCTAGTTTTATATAAATAAAGAATCTTTGTTCAATCGTATTTGCAACCACTTTGGTTAGATCAGATTTCAAAACAGACTTCTGCTTAATCCATATAATTGGATATTGAGTACGATTACAAATCCATACTTCAAAAGTTTATTTAAGAACAAACCAGAACTCTGTTTCTTTCGAAAAAATCGACTTGCTTTGGAATAAACGTTTAAACATCCATCTAGATAATGTGCCTTCTCACGAAGAAAGAGCTAGTAAGACGACATTTTAACTAAAAACATCAAACACGTGATTTTCACATTTTCATTTATTTTGAGTCTACGGCCTTCTAGAACACAACATTTCAAGGATAAACATTATTAAAATTTATTAGTCATGCTTAAATCCGTTAAGTCTGGCAAAATCACTCAAAGGACTGACATTTTCAATGTGTGTATATTATTAAAAATTCAACAAATCGCAAAAACTGTAAAAAATTTCTTTAAAATCAATTTTGAAAATAGATTGCAATCCTCATGAAGTCATAAAGTGATGAAAAATATTTTCATTTAATAGGTTGGTTTAAAAACTAGAGGAAACATCATTAATTAAATTAAAAATTACATTAATTAGCAGTAAGTTGTTCAGGTGTTGGCAAATCACTGACGAAAAAGTTTCCAGGTATTTGATGAAATATTTTTTGCATCATGTCAAGGAGAATGTCCTCAATAGTCTTTGAAATAATCGGTTTAAGTGCTTCCGAAACTGGTCTCCAATTCTGATTTAAATAATCATTCGTTGACTCTTCTGCAATACACAAAAAACATGAGAAAAACAATGTGGGCACGCGATCATACAAAAAATATTAAATGACGATGATCAAGCAAAATAAAGATGATGCTTAATATTGAATTATTTTATTTTTAGCAATATGAAATAATTTTCTTTCTCTTAACCTTTACGACGAAAGATTTACGAACGGAAAATTCGTGGGATGTAATGGAAGAGAAAATCGCGCCGCATGAACGTGATCTTCACAAATTCTGGCTGTGTAATCATGTCGAAATTCTTTCTCTCAATTCAATTACGACATTATTTTTGCTTACCTAATACTTTTACACCTTCGAACAGATTGTCCATACGAAGTTTCAAGCCTTCCATTGTGAATTGGACTGGAAAGAATTTGGTGAAAATTAAAGATTTATTTTTGAAATGTTAAATGCATTTTCGGGAACGATTGTGGGTGTTTGAAGCTGTAGATTGGAGCATCAATTGTTCGTTCTGTATATTCTATAAGATTAAATATTGATAAATGATTCCTTTATGAATTTATAAACAAAAGTAACTGATCTTTTGCACATTTTAGATAGCTAAAGCAGGATGCGTTCATAGTTCTTTGCAAGCAGAGTTGGCAATTGTTTTTCAACGACGCAAATTCTTGATTAATATTGATTGAAGCAAAGCTGTTAATAAGTCGCTGTAGCTTTATTTTAAGTTTAGACATTTTCATCAATTTCAATTCATGTTGATATGATATGAATGTTAAATCATCATTTATATTAAAGGACAAAGAAGTGTTTCGAAAGATCCTTAACACTGTTAGCCAAGAAATCTTCTTACTAAAATCTAAATCGTACTTCTCAGACAAACAATTTTAAACTCTTAATCGAATAGACAACAGCTATGAACTTACAGAAACTCGTTATTTCATTCCAAAAATGCATTAAATAAATAAAATTCACAGATTTCCAAGAGTTCTCACCTTTACAATTAGTTACATTATAAAATGTTTGTCCATGCTTAGTATACAATTTTGTTTTCGTAAAAAACTTAATATCCATATTAGCTGTAATGCGGGAAAAGATTTAAAATGTTTAAAATAAAAATACATAAATTGCAATATTTTAATGTCAATGTAAGCACATACATGGTTCGAACCAACATTTTCCGCGACCCTGAAAGACAGAAGAATGTTAAAAACTAAGCTTTAGATATTAATTTTGTGCATTACGTTCAATGGAATGACTAAGATTCTTCCCATCATGTGATAATTTCCTTCAAGTCTCATTTTAGGCAGTTTAACTTGTGTGTACCAGCTGTAATCCTTGTTGACATAATTTTCTAAAACTTTTGTTTTTGAAAAGCCTGTAACTTTAACTTTTGTCAGACTTGCATTCACTGACACTGGACCTTCTCCTTGTAAAATTCTAATTCTTTCGATTTTCATTGGATCAATAGTTTCTAGTCCAACAAGACCCTCAATTCCTTTGCCTAGTTGATCGAACAAACCTTGAACACTTCTTGTTGAGCATTTTCTTAAATCAGGATCACTAAGCTTGCAGGTTTCCAGCCAATCCGCTGTAAATATTATTTTAGAAACGATTATAAATATTTCAACTGCACTTTCCGGAATGCTCAGCTTGATTTCTCAAAAGGGAATCATTAATCAAAAATTGTAAAGGCACTTAAAACTAAATTATTTCATCTCTCATCAATATCCACTTTTGAAAAAATGTAATTTTTGAATCTATTCCAAAATATGTTCTCCATCCTTCGCTTCTTTATTAAAAATTATCTGCTTACGTTTCTCCAAAATATCACAGTCACAAAATTTAATGCCAATAAGAAAACACACAATTAACAGCCTCATGATAACTATACTTTTGGATACTTCCGAACTCAACAGTTGAAAAGCTCTCGATTGACTGAAACTTTATGCATTAACTCGGTTGCATTTTATAAAGAAGTCAACCTTCTAATTAACTTACGCAATTCCGCTGGTTGTTCTTTGCTGTATTGGTGAATAATTTTTGTTCTCAAACTGCAGCTTAATGCATTATTTGTTCATATACAATTTTGAGTAATTGGCGTGTTTTTATGTAAATTCTATAGAATTAATCATAGGGAGCTTTTCGCACATTGTGTGCTTTGAATGAACTCTTGAACTTAATTGTTGGGGTAAGCATCTGGATGGGATGTGCTGTGAAGTTTCTAATGACTTTTGTAGTTTTGATTGTTTGAGAAAAAACGCGAAAAAGAATTATACGATTTTCTATCAATTTTAAAGATATTTGCCGCCAAAAGTAGTTTGACTTTCGAAAACTTACTAGGAGCTTAATCCTAATGACTTTAACCTTGTTAAACTAAGAAAATTCAGTTGCACAATGAGGATTGGTTGTTAAATGCGACGAAAAACCATAATTTTCTCTGAAACAACAATCTCAGCTCCTGGTAAATCAACCATTTCGGATCTGAAATCATAAAAATTTGCAAAACTAAGATTGATTAATCATTAAATTGTGATCTTTAACTTACAAACCAATTTTCAATTAAGCTTTGAAACGTGATGCCATAAGATCACACGACAAATCATTCGTAGACAATGTAAAATGATAATTTATTCCAACAAAAAAACTATAAACAAGTTTTATAAGCTTAATATACTATAATTATAATGACAATGTGTCTCATTACAGATTAATTGACACTTCTGGTATAGTTTATGACAATTCGATTCGAAAGTTTTAATTTGAATAGTTTGAGTATGTTTAAAGAAGCTTAATCGACTGAATCAAACTTACATCTAGTCTACAATTGCTATAAAAATTTACAGATTACCAAAAATGGTGTTTAAATTCAAGTTCTCAAACAAAACTCAAATCAACTAAACCGCATTTACATCCGACGACCTTCAAAGAAGCGGTAAATGCACATAATTAAATGCATATGCTTAAACAAGTTTTCTTGTATTTTTTCTTATTTCTATTACATCTAAAACACAGGAAAAAAAAACTTTCGGTTTCGTTTGTGCTTACTGCACTTGAATTATTTGCATTTTTATTAACTTATTTATGTTGTGCTATTGAATATGCCTTAGCGGTCAATAGACTCTGAATGTTGTGAGATTAATTTAATAGATTTTTATTTGTAAAGATAAACAAACGATGTGACACAGTTAGTGGAAAAAAAATATAAATCTGATAAATATTCACACAGGTTTTAAAAGATTTGCGAAGTTATTTTACCATTAGTGTGAATAATGCTAATGTAAAGTTGATTTTGATGCAGTTTGTCAGATTGACTAGGTTGTGAAAGACCATGTAAGCTAGTAAATTCCAAACCATGTGTACCGACACGCCAGACACACAAGAAAAAATTCGGAAAATCTCACGAACCGTAAGCCGTGTATGGTTTTGGTCATGGCTTATCATCAAGGTGAGTCACCGACTGGTTGATGTAACTTGGCATTGCTGAAGCTATGAACCTACAAAAAATTTTGCTGCTTATGATTTTGAAAGACAGTCTGTAGCTTGCCTTAGTATTGTCACCAAGTTAAGTTAAAACATCCAGTTTCCTTGATTTTCTGTTAGATGCATGCCTTTTCCTCGAAATCTTACAAAAATGCGCCTAAATACGAACAATTTACATTTTCAATCTCATTTATCTACCAGGTCAGCACATTTGTCATATTAGCCAATTAACTTACAATTAAAAATGCTTCAAAGGCAAACTCATTTTCTAAAAAGCTCAAACTTAAACTTGAATACGTCTTCATTGCACAAATGCATGCAAAAAAAGAAGAAACTGAAAAGATTCTTTGGGTCAAGTTTAAAAAATGCACATTTAATTGCATAAATTGAAAAAAAAAACTTGTTAACATGAATAATATCCACTTTATTTTTTTTTTGTATTTTTCATAGTTTATTTTATAACTTAATTTGTTAGTTTAAAAATAATACCAATATTAATGTTACAACATGTTGATGAATTTATATAAAAGAAACAAAAAAATTATGAAAAAAAAAACTTCTCAAAAATGTTTTCATGTGTTTATAAAATTGGCAAGACAACTTATGATCACCGCCACATGTTGTGTGTGATTCGTGTCGTACGTGTAATAGTGTAAGTGTGTCTTGTGTGTGTTTTGTGGAAAATGTGTGTCATAAGTGTGGTGTGTCATGTGTTGTGTGTTTGTCTTGTGTGTCTGTGTGTACTTGTGGGTATGATCATAAACATTAATATTGCCTTATTGCTGTTTACTTGCTGTTTTTTCATTAATTTATTATTTCTATAAACTTTTGTCTCATGAGAATTAAGTTAGACATTTTTTTTCAGCAAGTTCAATACAGTTTTGTGCCTCAATAATTTCTTTTTTATTTCAATTAAAAACAATTAGAGAAAGAATTTCTTTACGCTTCTCGTCAAGCAAAATTAAAAAAAAGTGAGAGATTTAATTACTGATTATAAGGTGACGCGTGTTGAATTGAAAGTAATTTATGTACAGATTGATGATCCTTTACATGTGACGGGTGTTGCCGAAACCTAAAATTAAAGAGATTTTTTTAAATTAATTAAAATTTTCTTTACGATTGAATTTTGAAGACGTTTAAAATAATGAATGAAAAAATATTTTTATTTTGAAATAGTAAGGCATTGACCGAAAGAATTATAAATGCGAATAACAGTTCGATGACAGAATAATAATTGAAGTGACAACAGAACAGCTGGGATTGATTTTTCTAGTTTTTGACTTGTTGTTGTGTCATTTTCTGATATTTTTGGAATGACTAATCACTTGTGAAGTGAGTCATATATTATTTTGAGATGTTATTGATTTATATTCATTTGGTATCGACACTTTGTTATATCTAGAAAGTTCAATGAGCTATTTTATTGAGATGTTGATCAGATCAACAGGAAAAGTCTAATTTGTGAAACTAATTGCGTTGCAAAATAAGTTTTAATCTAATTTTCTATCGTCAAATGTCTTTGAACTTTCACTTGCTTCAAAAAGTCTCTTGAATCAACCAATATAACCACAAAAATTAAAATACACTCACCTCCATGTCCAGATTGAGATGCACCCTTGTTGAATCCCATTTGCAAGTTCAATTCTCCTTCATGGGCACGCAATTGCTCATCAGTAAATGTTCTCTCGTTTTTGTCAGCCATCTTTGGTCCTAAAAGTGAAGATTTTGTCAAAATAACATATTACATCTTAAAAATCATCTGCTATGATGTTCTACGTCTATTTCATTAGAAGAACTCTAAGATGGTCTGCTTATAAGAGTTTGACTTGCTAATTAGCAAATTAAAACCTTTTAAAACTTAATAAACATCCAAAACTTACCCAATCCTGGTCCAGTGAATTCTGGATGTTTTTGGGTGAGTCTGGCCAATGCGTAAAGGCAGAGTGTTACTTGTGCGATGTTACGACGTTCGAATAAATCGGCTGTTTGGAAAATTTCTTCTTCTGGAACACCATATTTCTTGAGGAAAGCTTGGAATCTATCAAATTTTATAAATTAATACTTAGTCATATGCTTGAGATTCAATAATGAGTTAAGAAAGAAACTTAAGATTTGCTTAATAAGACACATCATTAATCTTCTCAAGTTTAAGCATTTTTTTAGCAAAAAAATCTCATACCTTTGAACATTTTCCATCAACTGGAAGTTTGTACCGCGTTCTTGGATTTTCTTGACTGATCCAGCGACCATTTTGTTGGCAAGCTTGCAAAGAACGACTCCATTTTTCAAAATATCTTCATAATCACCCTTTGGAACTGGTTCTCCTAAGATGGCAAAGATCCAATCGAGGACTTCCTTTTCTTGTTCCTTATTACGTGCCTGACAAAAATATAAATTTAATGGATTATGAGTTATTTGACCATAAAGAAGTGAAAAATGATAAATTAAATGATCCAATCGACCCACATTAAGTTGCGATGTACAGCTTACAAATGTGTAGAGCAGCAAATGTATTAAATCATTTGGTCAAAAATAAAAATAAGCATTTTCTGTGAGAGATTTTTTTCCAAAAATAAATAAAATAAAGTAGCACTTCTCACAATTGGCTTGTTGTAGCACATGACATATGAATAGTAATTTAGGATCTCATTTGAGTCGGAAATGAGTTTTTAATATTTTTTCTTTACTGTGACAAAAAGAAGTTATTGTCAAACAACAAATTCATGCTGATTCTAAGTCAATGTACGCCTTCAAGTTTGCTTAATTGATCTCAAGTGTAGGAAAATTTCTCTCTCCCTGAGATAATTTTCGGAAATAAGAGACTCACGTCATATAGGAATGTTAATGAATATTTTGGATCGTTCGAGAAAGAAAAATTATGAAATTTCGCAGAGTTTGCCGTGAAATAAATAAGATTTATGGCTGCATGGATGTTTTGAATAAAATTTCATTATTTGTTGCTGCTGTTTCTTATAAATTGTTTGAGTTTAATGCCAATTTATAACTTTTTTTGACACGAAATTGCTACAAATCATAATATTTTGGCAGTTACAGTCAGGGGACATAGAAACAATTAAAGATGAAACAATAGAGACACCTTGCTTTGGGGGTTGTTCAGAAATGATGTCTAAAGTAAGTTTCGTGCTATTTGACAATCCACAGAAAGTTCATAATTAATTTCTAGTTTTGAGAAGCTTAAAGTTTATATTTTGACATCATTCATGAATAACTTCTCTTCAAATACAACCAGAAAAATTATTATTGGCACAACTCATTTTGATCAGCAAGATTGTCATAGAAAAAAAATTGTAAATGTATCTACCCATAATTCAATTAGAGCAAATGAACATGACAGCAAGACAAATTATTGCCGGAAATTATAATTTATGTGCTCTAAAACAGACGTCGTTAATGCAAAAAAATTGGCTGATCTTCCTTGACGGAAAATTTATAAAGTAAATTAAATTATCGGCTGATGTGAAACAATCTAATTATTTTTAAATTGAATGTTACACTTTGGGGTAGATCCTGCTTTATATTTACTCTTTTTATAAAGGTTCTGTGATTTATAGTCTTCATAAGTTATTGGTTGCATGTTTTTCTAGGATATGAGAAGATCATAGCTTCGGTTAGCTTCAATAAATGAAGAATCTAGTTTTGTGAAGTTGTGAAGCTAGAATTGTAGACCCTGCTACTGTCTCAAGATATTTAAAACTAAGAAACACGAAATTCCTTGTCAAATCACCAGCTTTGAATGTTAGAAGCCAATTTGACAATCAAATTACAACTCAAACATCAAAAAAAAAGAAATAATTTTCAAAATCTCAAATAGAATCCGATCTATATTAAATCAACAATAAATCTATCCACCCATCCAATCGATATTTCGTAATCCAATCTCAAATCTCAAAACTTACAACACTTAAAATATTTTTCACATTCTTTCAATCTCCAATTTAAATGTTTTCTAAGTCTCTGGTTACAATATTTTTCACATATTTCGTCACGTTTTCAACCCTAAATGCTAGAAGCCCATCATCAATTTCTCATGCCATTAAAATAACAATTTTCTTTATAATATAAACAAACTTCACGATCTCTTCTTTGACTTTATTTCATTCAGGAATAGAAAGAAAAAGTTGGTGTAAATAGTGAAATGAAAAACTCATTTTGAAAAATTAATTGACCGATGCTCCTACATAGAAAATACCTTCAGAGAAATCATATGTCATAGCACAAATCAAGTAATTAAAATTTTCTGTTTCTCAATTCATGACTCTTTTGAATGAACAGATTTTTTGAGGGAGTTGAGTGTGGGTATTGAGTTGGTTTGGGTGTGGATGACTTCTTGATTTACTTTGGTCAGTCAAACTTGTTTATTATGATTTGTACTTTTTCTATTTATTTGTAATACTTTCGGTAGAGTTGTTTACATGGAACTAATCTAAAACTAGTAAAATTACTGCCTGAAAAGATTCCCTTCCTTATCTAGCCTTTAAGGATTTCATTAAACCAAGCTATAGACAAGCTATAATATCCAAGCAATCTAGACTTTAATAAAGTCAGGTTATAGCCTAAACTTAAGTATTAAGCTATAAATAGGCAAAATCGTGATCCTAAATTTCCTTTGAACCTGCTTTGTAAGGGAACTGACCAGGAATCGGTAACCATTTCATTTTAGTAAGGCAATTGGTTCAATTCCCATAAAAAACACCAAAGTTCTTGAAAATGCTTCGTAAAATAGCAATAGCTAAGTCAATTCTAAGTCACCACATTATGAACCTTGCGCTGCAATCTCATAAATCTAATAAGAAGTCCCCAAACTTACAATATCTCATTGTAAACATTTTCATATGTGAAATTTGAATAAAAAGGAAGGAAAGAAAAGTAAATTTTCCTCTAAATTAAAAAGAAGACGATCAGCTTCACATTCGATGAGAAAAATGGAACAACTGTTTATACTGATCGTCGGCATCTTGCCTGTTTTTCTTAGAAGGAAAATTTATTATTATTTTCTGTCTCTCTTGCTGCTTTTCTATCTATTGTGAATATTATTTCTTTCCTACGTCAATTGCGGTTCTTTCAATTGCTTTTTTTATCGTTTAGCTGAGAAAATTTTTCCTCTTTGCACAAAAGCAAAATTTAAAAACTCGTATAAATCATCAATAAAGCTATAATTCACGAGAACACATGCATAAATAATTTTTTAGAGTTCATGGAATGAGATGAGAACCGTGTGTGCATGACATTGAACTACATTGAATGAAAAAAAGTTTTTATTATTTTTTTTTTCTGTACAATTCAGTAAACACAAAATGCTTCCAAAAATAACTGCGATGAGGCAATAAATTTAGAAAAATTTTCACAAAAAAAATACTCAAATTTTGTCGACTGGATCCAACGGAAATAGTTTCGATCACCACAGATACTTACAACCATATTTAATAATTTTTTTTGATTATATTAAACTAAATCACTCGACACTTTTTGATTTAATACTCAGTAATTCCAATGGATAACCTGGAAGTGCCCCTGAAGATGTGATCCGATTGGTGTCTCAAACGAAATTAAATCAAAATGAAGAGAAAAATCTCTGAAAAAATATATATTTTAAAAAAAAAATAATTCTGCGCGTTCAGTTGTATATGAAATGATTAAAATAGAAACATAAAATACACGCAAAATCTTCTTTCCTTTCCTTCTGTTTATCTCAACTCACAACTTTTCTTTCTTTCTTCTCCCTACTGTATGGGTGGCGTCTTTAAATAACGTCCCATCAAGCCCTAAAATTCATTATCAAGCTTCATTTCTAGCGTTACGTAAGCACATCAACAATTCACAAGCTAGAACTCATTAAGAACTAAACATCATTTACGAACGACCCCCAAACGATCTTCTTTACTTAAAATAATATAATGGAAAAAGATTATGAAGAAGAAGACACTTCTACACATCGGTGACTTTCATACTGAACAACTTTTTAGAATTTAATTAATTAAATTATTAGTTGTAAGATTTTGCGCAGATAACGGACAAAATTACAGACTAGTCTTTGCAAATTTGATGCTTTCATGGATGGATTCATTTATGTGCTACCTACGGGAATTGAATAAATTAGAAAACTATGCTCTGTAAATTAATACGAAAAATTTATCGAGTGTTAAGCAGAATTTTGTGGATTATTTGTAATTTGTATAATTAGTTGTAATTAAATGGAGTCAAGGGTATGGAACTGAAGAATTACATTTTGATCATTTTTGATCAATTTTGATCATTTTTGATCATTTTTTTGATCATTTTTGATAATTTTTTGATCATTTTTGATCATTTTCTGATAATTTTTTAATCATTTTTGATCAATTCATAATTACCACACCCTTGAATGGAGTTTAGCTTACTTTTCTGACTATAGATATAGCAAAAAAAAAAATCAAAAGTCAGTCTTGTATATTATTTCTTGATTTTTTGAAAAATTCTAACCTTACCCAAATAGCACAAGTCGGTTAATCGAATATAAATCCAAGCTGGCATAACTCTAGCATGGTGCTGGATTCGATTTGAGACCAGCATCATGCTAGAGTCACAGGATTTCTTTTCGATTAACCGAATTTTCTATTTGGGCTTCCTCCCTCCACGATCTAAATTTTACTTTTGCTGTGTTACAATAATTAGGGTTGAGCCTAGCTATTTATGACATTATAAGTAATAATTAATTAAACATTATGCTGACATTTTGCCTTCATCACCCTGTCTCTAATTCATAATCAATACGTGTCTTCACCATCTGTGCCTCGAAAATCATTAGATTTCATTCATTGTTTACAAGTCAATCAAAGGAAAATTTAATATGTAGTCAAAAAATCTTTAAAGTAAACAATATCAGCAAATACTGAAAAAAATAAGAAGATCGCGTGCCAGATCAGCAAGAATCTAGCGGCAATATATGTTAAAAATTTCCGTTCATCAGACCACCCGTTTCTCATCATCCAGCGGAACAACACGTTGCTCGCACACGTTCACACTTCATAATAATAACTATTACAGCAATAACAGCACGCAGTTGTCGTTGTATTATTTTTAAAAATAAAAAATCTACTGTGGGTGTTTTGTTAGTTCCATTTCCTCACATGTTGGGGGATTCAGTTGCTTTTTGGAAGTAATAAATTGTCATTTTATTGTGTGTGTAGATTAAAAGCTGATTTTTCATTCATACACTGTTGTTGCTATCGTAGAAAATATTGAATATATTCCCTTTGATATTCTTACTTGTGAAATGTTGTGGGATTCTAGGAGATGAAAAAATTATAATGTAGATGATAAAGCTATAAACTGAGACGAAATTAATGGAAAGAAAATGTGTGGAAAATTTTTATGATAATTATGAAAATGATTATGTACGCGAATTATGGTTGTTGGACATGGAAAGTCAGTTAATTAAGGTTTTTGAGGTGGATATTGTGGATATTGTAAGGATGAGATGAAGATTTTTATTGGAAAAAAATCATGTTGATCGTTCATATGGAGTGTCAGATAGCTCCATAGCTTTCTCAATCCAAAATTAAGACATTAAGAGCCAAAAAATTGATGCCTAAAAGGAGCAGAAGGTTTTGAAGCACTTTGTGTAACTTGAAGCTCATCAAAGAGCTGCTTATGACCGATAGTGTGAGTTAAGACTTTTAGAACTCCCTGATTACACACCTGTCACTTCTTTAAGCTCCATAAACTAACATAACATCACATTTGTCACAAAAAAAATCTCATCTTTCCTCCAACACACCCAGCAGTTCCCTTTCGAATTGACGTTGGCACAAAAATGAGAATTGCATCATATGCTTTTATTTAATCTTGCGTCTCTTTTGACACCGTGAAATATACTTTCTTCTTCCCAAACATTTATTTTTTTTTTAATTTTATTTTTATCATCATCAAGAAATAAGTCACGAGAGAGAAAATGAGGAAAAAACAAATTTCGGAATTAAAAGAAAATAAAAGTGGCGATATGATAAGTTGACACTTGTTGACTTTTCAACTTTATTGGCAATTTATTTTCAGGAAAGGAATGCCAAAATACAAAATTTAATCAATATGAAACTTACGTGTGTGTTTGCTTGAAACGTGTTGAATTTTAAGCCGGTGAAAATTGTTTGTGTCTTTATTTTGATGTTTAAATGAGCAGCAACAACAAGTTTTCATCTTGTCGCTTTATAAACATTTGAGAACTCCTACGAGAACGAATACAGACATCCTTTGAGTCCCACTCGCTGTAAAAGTCTGAAAAAATATTTTCTATCAAAAAAAACTTACAAGCTCCAACTTTATAGCATCAGAACTTCATAAACTTCAAATTTTATTCTACTTTGTTGCAGCAATTAATTAAGTGTACAAAAAATTACTCAATTAAACTCCAACAATTTAATTCCCATTCTATTCACTAATGCGAATTAATTTGTAAACGTATGAGAGAATTAATAGCTTCAATGTGTGAGGCGATGTCTTAATTCACATTAAAAAATACAATTTAAAAATGCAAAAAAAAAAATTGCAGAAAGCAGTAAAGATGAAATAGCAGATAGAGTCAAGAGAACGGCAACATCAGTAGCAGGCTGGTGTTGGATGTAACATTTTATGAAATATTTATTATGATTGAATGATGATGTATTTACATTTTATTCTTGAATTGCTGCCAAAAAGATATAAAATGTTTTTCTCTTTTTTAACTGCTTTTATGCGACTGTATAAGTCAATTTCTAGCATTATAAATGTTTTTTGTGTGGAAATTTATAAACACGAAGATCTGAAATTGGATATTAAGTTGGAGTCAATTTTTAAATGAGTAAAATCATATGTTTTTCCTGTTTGAGTATCGAGATCTCCGCTAACACCAATATTCTACTTCTTAACAATACGGAACTCTTTTTTACTGTAGAAGCTAGTCGTCACATTAATTATGTGAGAGGGTTCCAGCCTGGCGGTGTGTTACTACACGTTGCGATGAGCTGAAGGCACTGCGATCCTGATCGATGATAAAATCTTTTGTCGTCACATTAAAGTGATCCCAAAAAGATCTAATTACTTGTTCTAAAAATTCTGAGTTCATCTTTATTGAAAACAATTCGTGCCCACTTACATGGGGTGTTTTGTTACAGATTGATGCTTCTTTTCATATGCATTCTTTGTAGATCTTTATATTTCGAGTCTAGAATACAGATTTTGGCGCCATTAGATCACCTGTAGAGTTTAGTGTTGGCAAAATCACAGCTGTAACTTCCTGTTTTGATTCTGTGGATTTTTTTGTTATTTCAATGCTGCGCATAAAACTCAATTCATTAATAATTTTTTGGATGTTTTGCATATTCCTGTTTAAGTTTGGTGATGTAGATAGGAAAGGTGCTTGTTTAAAAAGGCGCTCCATTATAACTTTATCTTCATGGTTTTTAAATAAATTTTCAATTTCGCCAATTAATCAAAAATCAAATATTTAAATATTCAGCATGTTGATCTTACGGCTTCGTTTATTTAGATTTTCATTTAATAAAACGCTTGAATTTATTTTTTCTCTGAATGAAAATGTAACTCGATATTTTTATAAAGCAATTGGCAAGCATTTATGAATATGAAAATGTTTTGTGTACTGTAAAATTAGATCGCTGTAATAAAAGCTATTTTGGGAAGCACTTTGATAGAAGTTCAGGGTTGGTTGAAATTTTTTCGATTTGCTGTGAAGTGAACATTTTGTAAAACAGTTTTTCAAGTCTGAAGGTCTTTATCACTTGGAATAAAGGTCCAATTTCATTCACTATTGAATTCAGAGACTCAATCAAACCTTACTAGACTCTTCATTTGAATCTAAAATACTCCAGTGAATATTAAATCTCAAAAAAATCTAAAATCCTGCTCATGAGATCGATGATTAAATGTGTCGTGCAGGGTGAAGTGCATCTGGCAGACTCGAGAATTCTGCAGAATTCTGGAACACAGTTGTGCAGAATAATTCTGCAGAATTCTCCAGAATTATGGAGGATTATTTATCAGAATTCTGGAGAATTTTTTGAAAAATGTCACGCGATACATTCGCAACATGATTTCAGAAAACAGAATTTTTTAACAGAATTCTGTAGAATTATGGACAAATAATTCTGGAGAATTCTGTAATAGTTTTTATATAAATTGTCAAAAACACCCTATACTATTTGGCATTAGCTATTTAGCTACAACTGTAGATTACAGATGAACTTCCTTCGTTACGTAAAAATCAAATTAAAGCTGTAATTTACAGATGGTGTTTATAGCTTAGCTGCTGAGCAGTACTTACAGTTGAGTTTACAGTTTTATAAAAATCAAATTTTTCACTCTGGATGTTAACATTTAAAATATAAATAAAATAATACAAGAATAAAAACTGGAAACAAAAACCTAAACAATGATAGTAAACAACCTAGGAAATACTTACGAATGGCTTCGATTTAAATCTAGCACCATGCCAAAGTCACACCAGGTTGATGCTGGATTTCTGATTAATTTACCGACTTGTGTCATTCGGAATAGAACCAAAAACTGAATGCTTCATTCAAATTAAAAAATATAATGCTAATTTTATATTTATACATAACGATTCATTGAATTCGTGCTAGAAAGCATTTAAAGTTATTAATTACCAATCGTTTTCAAACTTTTGCACGCTACTGTACCTTGTTTTCTATTCAATTTTTTTGTAAAAGGAAATGTCATAGTCAAAACCAGCGGAATTCACGTGAAATTACATCAACTGTAAGTACTGCTCAGCAGCTAAGCTATAAACACCATCTGTAAATTACAGCTTTAATTTGATTTTTACGTAACGAAGTAAGTTCATTTGTTATCTACAGTTGTAGCTAAATAGCTAATGCTAAATAGTATAGGGTGTTTTTGACAATTTATATAAAAACTATTACAGAATTCTCCAGAATTATTTGTCCAGAATTCTCCAGAATTATTTGTCCAGAATTCTCCAGAATTGTGTTAAAAAAATTCTGTTTTCTGAAATTATGTTGCGAATGTGTCGCGTGACATTTTTCAAAAAATTCTTCAGAATTCTGATAAATAATTCTCCAGAATTTTGGAGAATTCTGCAGAATTATTCTGCACAACTGTGTTCCAGAATTCTCGAGTCTGCCAGATGCTCCGGAATCGTCGTGCACCAAAAAATGTTGATAACCGCTAGTCAAGTCTGAATGCAAAATTTATACGATTTTAAATGCCAAGCTTAAAGACCTCAAAGTATTAAAAGTGCGATAAAATTTTATTCGAAAAACAAATCATCAAATTAGATTTTTTTCATACATTTACTTATCTTATTCAAGCAGGTATAAACATAAATATCATTTCGCACATTCTTTATCTCAGCAAGAATCATAAAATCAGTTTTACTTGATCTTCACATTTATTTACTGAGGTTTTAAATCAACCATATGTTTTTAATCCAATAAAAATCAGCATTCGAAATATTTTGGGAATGTTCATGTGTACTAAATCATTGGAATTAATGCTGATATATCTTAAAAATCAGAATATAAAATAAATCAACATATTAACTGAATCCTGAATTTTATTTTTAATTCTAGATCGCTGGTAAGCGTGACGTAGAACAGGAAAAAGAAGCTCAAGAATGGATCGAGTTAATGCTCGGTGAAAAGTTCCCAGATACTTTCGAGGCCTCACTTCGTAATGGAATCATTCTTTGCAAATTGATGAACAAATTAAATCCTGGAATCATTCAAAAGATCAGCATTTCTGGCGGTGATTATAAAATGATGGACAACATCTCACAGTTCCATAGAGCAGCTCAACATTGGGGAGTTCCAGAAGTTGACTTGTTTAATGCAAATGATTTGTATGAGCAGAAAAATATTGTACTTGTGACTCAAACTATTTTTGCCATTGGACGTGCTGTAAAGAGTTTTTTATTATTCTTATGTGCCTTAAAATAATTTAAATTTCATTTGTAGTGCTATAAACATCCAGAATTCCAGGGACCATACCTTGGACCACCACCAGCAACAGAAAATCGTCGTGAATTTACAGAAGAACAATTAAGAGCTGGCGAAGGTATGATTGGCTTACAAGCAGGCACAAACAAGGGCGCAACTCAGGCTGGACAGAATTTCGGAGCTGGCAGAAAAATTATTTTGGGAAAATGAGAAAATCCTCAACATCATGCTTAACTATTTATTTGAATTCTGCTTCATAGCTGCTCCTGAAAATTCCTTTTCTAGATTCTCATAAATATTTTCTTACTTAATCAATAAAAATTTCACAAACGTTTTGGTTATAATTTTAATTAATGAAGATGAATTATATATTTTAATAAAAATGGCTTATTTTAATGAACAAGTTTAAGTTTTGAGTGATTATTAATCCATGTTGTTGAAAATCCAATCCATAAACTCAGAAATTCGTGTATAGACAGCTAAAATGAAGTTTATAAATATTTATGAAATTACAATACTCATAAAAATAATAACCTGGATAATCCTTTGTACCACATTTATTTGGACCAAACGAGACTAAACCTACAAGGGAGTAATATGGTATTTTACGTTGCTTAGTGATTTGTTTCATTAGTGCTCCTCCAGAATCTCCATTGCTGTGAATGGTTGAAGTTTAGATTGATTAAAGTTATAATCATTTGGACATTTTTAACTGAAACAACATGATGAGAATTTCCCGCCAAAATTCTTTTGGACTTACCAAGAATCTCGTCCTTCTTCACCACCAGCGCAAATCTATTCAAACAATACTTTAAATAAAAAATTTTCAAAAAACATCAATCCAACCTGTTTGCTGTTTATAACAACATTACGCCTAGCATAAACTTTTTTACAATAACTTTGTGGACTGATCCTCAATCCAACCCATTTCTTTCTGACGCTCATCGTTTGATTCTCTACGTTTGTACATCCAAATCCAGCAACCTCTACATAATGGTCTGTTAAATTCATATTTTGGACATGCTCGTCAATTGGTAAGCATATGGGCTTTATAAAGTCACTAAGTGTGACATTTCTCTGGAGCTTAATTAAAGCAATGTCATTGCATTGAATTTCAATTGAAAAATTGTAATTTTCGTGGACTGTAATATTTTCAATTGGAATTTCCACATATGGATCATTGCATCGTCCGTCTTCGTCACAATCAGGATTTGTTCCTATATCCCAATCACCAAGTCGAACTTGGAATGGTTTAAGCTTTGTACAATGTGCAGCAGTTAAAACATAGCTTTCATTTATGAGTGTTCCACCACAGAAGCTCTCTAAAAAGAATAAAAATGATATTTTGAAAATTTTGATCGTCAAGGCTCTCTTATCTTTGATAAGCACATCTAATCATCTTATTAATTACCTGTTGAATTATTTTCATTTATGTGTTGAATTTGAACAGTCCATGGATATTCATCGATATTTGCAATCTCTCCACCGATGATCTAAAGAAGTACTACAATTAAAATACTGGATATCACATTCTCATCAGCTACGTACTCTATTACTGAATTGAATTCCACATTTAGGTGATTTTGGCAATTTGCTTTCAAAATTGACTTTGACTTTATTAGCACAACAGGCATAAGCCAAACGATTTTCAGTTTTGCAATGAATGCTTTTTAAATATTTATCATCTTCTGCAGACAATCGTTGCTTATCACGTATTTTGTTTACTGCATCACACATTGGAAAGGGAATGCATGACTCATTACTTGTACATGTTGCAAATTCTAAGTCAAAATTAAAATTTTGATAAGAACAAGTAAATATGAATATAAAATTGAGGATGGTAATGGTTTATCTCGAATGGCACAGGCTTTAAATTATATGTAAAATAATGACATCATGCTGCAATTAGACCTCACAAAGAATTTTACTGCTTAATGCTTTTGGGTCATTATTATTCATATTTTTTGCATCGTGTTCTCTTCCAAATTGTTACTTACTTGAGTTGACTGTGTGAATTATTTGACAAATAGTGAGGAGCACTAAACATGCATTCAACTTCATTATTTTAAGCATTTTTATGTAAATTTCAGGTATTGTAAATTATAAAAATAAATAAAACACTTGAAATTATCAAAATTTATAAAAACATTAAAAACGACAAATTAAGAATCAATGTCAAGACATCAAATGATAACAACAGACTGAGCATCAAAAATAATTAAAATTAATTCCCATAATTTTGTAATTTTCCTCTCCGAGATTTAAATTAGCATTGAGTGATTAAGAAAATTATTTATGTTGATACTTAAAGCAGCTGATCAGGAATTGCGACCAAGTTTTGTTAGGATTTAAATCAAATTTCTGATTCCATTACACAGTCAATCCTATAGGATTATTGAGGTTAATAACATCTCTACATACCAAGAATTAGTAAATATTAAAGAAGTAGAAACTTTTTAAGGCTCAGTAAATTTATCAAACCTTTTAATTTACATTTAAAATTATTTATCTAATCCATATTGTTAGCAATCCAATCCATATACTCAGATATTCGTGTGTAGACACCTAAACCGTATTTTTACAAAATTATCAAATCAAATTAATTTATTAAAGTTTAATACCTGGTTGATCCTTTGTCACACAATCTTTGTGTCCAAATGAGACCAAACCAACTAGCATGAAATAAGGTATAGAACCTGGTTTATTGATTTGTTTCATCAATGATCCACCAGAATCTCCACCACTGTAAATAATCAGAATTAAGTCTTAAAAGATGAGATAAAAGAAAATTCTTACCAAGAGTCCTTGCCAGGCTCACCACCAGCGCACAACTACACAAAATGAAGAACTAAATGAAATTGAGTGGAACCAGAAACTTCAGCATTCATACCTGTTTATCTGTAATAACAATATTTGAACTTACAAATACATTTTTACAAAATTCTTGTGAATTTATTGTAACTCCAACTTTCAATTTTCTGTCACTTGACAAGCTGTACTCTGTTTGTCCAAATCCAGCAACACCAACTTCATGATTTGTCAAATTTATGGCTCTGTCATTTAAATCAATCGGTAAGCAAATAGGCTTGATAAACTTAGTAAATTCGACACTCCTTTTAAGTTTAATTAAGGCAATGTCATTACTTTGAGCTGTATTATATGGATTGTAATCTTCATGATCGATAACTTTTTCAATTGGAATTTCCACATATGGATCATTGCATGTTCTGTCTTCGTCACAATCAGGATTAGTTCTTACATCCCAATCACCAAGTCGAACTTGAACAAGACTGAAAACTTTCGGCAGTCGACGATCACAATGTGCGGCAGTTAAGACATAGCGTTTGGTGATTAAAGCTCCTCCACAGTGGATACCTAAAAATATGAAGGAATTGAGCATTAGGGCATGGTTGTTATAATCTATTGTTACTCCAACCTATTTCGCCATTTGTTTTTGCATACTGAATTTGAACAATCCAAGGATGCTCTTCAATGGTTGTCTCAGCACCTCCAACAATCTAGAATTAATGATAGACATAAGATTTGCCAAATAAATCTTTTCCAAAACTTACTCCTGATGTAAACTGTAATCCACAAATTGGTGCTTTCGGAAACAACTCTTTGAAGATAATTTTTTTAACACAACAGACATAAGGTATGTGATTTAAAGCTTTACACTGTATTTTCTTGAAATATTGCTTATCTTCCTCTGACAATCGGTTACCTTTTCTAAGTATTTCCATAACAGCGTCACACTCTTGATAACGTACGCATGTCTTTAGTTGTGCATGTTGCGAATTCTAAGAAAAAAAATTAAGTATTTATTTTCAGGATGAAACGTTGTGAGGTCACGAATTCAGTTACTTACGTTTTGTTGTTTTGAAGACCGCCAATAATATTAAGAATGGAATTAATTTTGACATTTTGAGAAGATTTTTTCATTAAAGACTCAGCTTTTACAAGCTTTTTTATTAATAATAATGACTGGATAGGATCTAAAATGGATCTTAATTAATTACGTTGAAGTTTCAGCTAGCATGAGAGCAAAGTTCAAGCAACTTCAAAGAAACCAAATAATTTCACAATGTTAAAATATGATGCAAATTAAAACGACAGCAAGGAACTGAATATTTAATAATCCGAGGGTTTAATTTTAAAAATTGATATTACTTTATTTTGAATCAATTGTGGTGAAATTGAAAGAGTACGCAATTATTATAGCTTTTGCTGTTTTATTTCAGAATTATGCTCTATGCATGAGAACGAAGAGAATTTTAATCTTACAATAATAAATAATCTGTAATCTTTCATACGTGACGTAAAATAAAGATTTAAATTAAACAAGGTTCCGTACCTTGATCTCATCAAAACTCAATCAATACTCCTTTCAATCCAGTTTACATAGCTTGACACACGTGTATAAACAGCTGTTGAATTAAAAAATCGTCAATAATTCATAAATTAAAGCTTATCGAATTTACTAACCTGGAGAATTTATATCTTCACAATTTGGTGGCTTAAAAGAAGGAATTCCTGCAACTGCATAGTTTGCAAAACGCTTTGAGGGATTTGAAGGGTTCTATTATAGTCAATGCTCCTCCATTATACAGATGACTAGAATTGGAAACTTTTGTAAGAAAAAAATATTGGATTCAATTTTACTCATTATTTACCATGGTTTATGGCTGCTAACTTTACCGCAGAACTGAAAATAATTTTGAATGTCAATAATTCTGAATCTTTTGAATCCTCAACTCACCTGACTGTCTGAAATTGTAATATTTTGATCAGAATAAAATTCCTGGCATTCATCCTTTGACATTCCTTCTATATCCATTTGTAGCTTTATATTTGCATTTGATTCAGGTTTTAAAAATCCAACTAATCTAAAAAATTGTGAATCAGCACTGATATTTGAAGTTAAACAAATAGGGTTAATCCATTCATTATATGAAACCTGCTGCTCTAATTTTAGCAATGCAATATCATTGTGCTGATTCTTCGAAGCATGATCGTACTCTTTATGAACAATAATTTTTTCAACAGGAACTTCCAAGTATGGATTATTACAAAAAGACTCAGAGGTAAAATCTTGACAATCTGGATTTGATGTTAAATCCCAATCACCAAGGCGTACTTTTGAGATTTTCCAAGAATCTGGAACTTTTTGGACACAACTTGCAGCCGTTAAGACATAACGATCGTTAATCAAGCTTGCTTCGCAATGAATGTCTAAGGATTATGGAAGTTAAGTTTGTTTATTGACATTAAGTCTATAATAATGGTCCTACCTGTCTCATTTCCTGGCTTTGAGTAAATAATCTGTGCAACCCATGTGAATTCATTAACAAAAGTAGATTCACCTCCTAAAAGCTATATAAACATTCAATAATAAAAATTGATCTTTAAAGAAAATTACTAACAATAGTTCTAAGCGGAGTTCCACAAATTGGAGACTCTGGTAGCTTTGTTATCTTCTTTTCTTCTTCTTTACAGCACACATAATGTATTTTGCCGTGTTTTCCGCACCATATTTTCGAAAGGTGTGATTTTTCATCATTCGTCAAATTTCCCTTGCGAGTTATGTTTAAAACTTCATTGCATTTATAATGAGGAATACATTCAGTTCCAGCTTTACAAGAACTTCTCATTAAAAAATTCTCTAGAAATGTTTAAATTTAATTTTTTATGCTTTTTCTGTTGAGATTTTAAAATTTAGTGACAAAGGTTTATGGCATTAACTTTTGACTACTTTAGCATTTTCAGTCATTGTCACGTATTTTAAAATCTTAAATTCATTATATTTACGTGATTCCACAGTGATAACAAACAAGGCTGTCAAAACTAAGAACAACTTAAATATTCTCTCCATAGCTGATGCTTGAGTGATAATGATTTTAAATTAATGAATTATTAAACTTATATACAGTCTGAAATCATGAAAATTCCGATATTTATATTGCAATTTCTCAAAGAAAATTGCAATAAATCAAAACAAATTTGTTTATAAACCTGAATTTAAGTTTTCTCATTTTTTTCTAGGGTTTAAGCTGCAGCTATCATTTTAAAAAGCCTTTCTCACTCACAAACACATAGACATTATATTAAAAACATAGAATCAAAAAACAGTTATAAAAGATTGAAAAAAATGTTTATTTCATTTAATTGACGGGATTTCCCACAGCAAATTCATACGTCTTTTGTATTAATTATTTTATTTTTACTAAGCTGATTATTTTTAAGGCATACACACTCAGGAAACTTTATGACGTTCTCCGAAAATGTATGGGATTTTGGATGTTCTTAAAATTTGCCAAAAACATTTTTCTAGGAGTAACCAGTTATTAAAGGTTGATATATATGTCTTTAAACTGATTTAGTTTGATCCAGAGCTCGAAGTCGACTCGAGATTTTTATCCATACAAAATTTCGTTAACTTCAAGCTCAGGTTTGATCTTGAAGAGCTTCTGTGCTTGTTAAATAGACAAAATCATGCTCAGAAGAGCCATATATTCTTAATGAACAAAACTAGGAACGGATCATATTGTAGTACTTACAATAAACCAAGGACGGTCTTATATAGATCATAAGAACTTATAATAAATTAAGTCAGCTTGCTTATCATTGCTAATCATTAACATAATTTAAACTTTAGCATAAAACTTATCTTCTCTAATCTAATCCTTTAATTTTGACCTTATAAAACTAATGGAATTAAAGTTTTTTATTTACTTTTATTTTTTAAATTAAGTTAAATAGTAAAACATAAATTAATAATTTACTAAGCATTAAAGCATTCTTCTTAATTAATATTTTTAATGATCCAGTCCATATGTGGTGATACAAGCGTGTAAACTCCTGAAAAATTAAAATATTTTTTCAAATGAATATTATTGCAATAATTTATTTAAAAAGTTCAAACCTGGATTTTCTGTGGTTGCACAGTGCTCTGGTCCAAACGACTGAATTCCAATAAGTTGATAGTGAGCGAACTTTGAAGAAGGAAAGGTACCTTCTTTCACCAGAGAACCACCAGAATCTGGATTGCTATAACAACAAAGTTATTCCTTAATTTTCAAATATAAAAACTTAAGTGACTCACCAAAACTCTTTCTTTTCCTCAATTCCAGCACAAATCTGTGTAATAATTTGGAAAATTAAATCTAATTTGAGATTTCAAAGATTTTTCTTACATGAGCGTTTGTGACATCAACTTTCATGCTTGCATAATTAGCTTTACATTTTTCTTGTTCCACAACATACAAATAAAATACTTTTTTTGTTGGACTTGAGCTTTCTACATCCTTTTCTGTCAATTTAAATCCACTGACTTCCACGCTGTGTGACGTGAAATTCATATTTCTGATATTTAAATCAACTGGCAAGCAAATAGGTTTAATCCATTCTGTAAATTTAACATCCCTCTCCAATTCTAATATTGCAATGTCATTGAATTGATTAACAGATTCCTTTTTGTAATTTGGATGTGTAATAACTTTCATAACTTGAACATCCACAAATGGATCGTTGCATACTTGTTCATTAACAAACTCCATGCAGTCTGGATTTGTCCTTCTGTCCCATTCACCTAGTCTGACTTTTGATATTTTCCAGGTTTTAGGAACTCTGAAATTACAATGTGCAGCGGTTAAGACGTGTCGCTCGGTGATTAAGCTTCCTCCACAGTGGCTTTCTGTAAAAAAATGTAATCAATTCTAATTCTTCGAAAATCTAGGTCTGAGCTTCATATTCCTTGAATTATCAAACACAGAGTTGGTTCTTTGTTGATTAGGGCAAAAATTGATTTGTTTGATGAATATTGAACAGTTTTGAACTTATCTAACCTTCAAACAGATCACAAGAGGTAAATCAGTATCAAAACTCTCAATATCTCTAATCTGAACCTTAACATCCCTTTCACTAAACAAACCAAAACTAGTCAATGCTCACCAATCTTATTTTCAGGTGTGGTATACATGCTAATAGCAGTCCATGGATATTTATCAATGTAAGGATCCTCAGATGAAGAAAAAATCTGGAAATGACCAGGAGAAACTCAAATTGTGTCAACACTTTGTGGCACTTTGCAATTCTATGTGACACTCACTCTGTCACTAAAAACCAATCCACAAACTGGAACTTCTGGGAGCACCCGCTTCTTTTCAATCTTTTTCTTACAGCAAAAGTGATGTTCACGATTAATGTACCTACACAATCTACTTCTGAGATATTTTCTCTCGTCAATCGAAAGAAATCTTTTTCTGGTTATTTTATTGACTTCATCGCATTTATTGTGCAAAATACATTCCTCATCAGCAGAGCAAGTAGCTACACCTGTATCAATAGATCTACTTGATGTTTCAATACGTGATTCCACTAAATTAACAGTAAGTAATAATGCATAAACTAGCAAACAATAGATAATTATCTTTATCATGATGAATTGTCACGATCCGTAAATCAACTGAATCTAATGTGTTAATTAAATAAAATGAAAACTTCTAACGAGATGTGAATGAATGAACGAATGATGACGAACTAAATATATTTGTTTTGTTTTAAGTTGTTTTGCTGTAAAGAATTAGCAGAAAGAGAAATTTTTTTAAAGATGTTGTTGCTTTCCATAGTGTTTACTCCTCACATATGAATTAAATTAGCTCAGCACACTTGCATACAAACTTAAAGGAACGAGAGCATTAAGAGAGAATATTTTAAGAGAAAAGTCTAAGGTTTCACAATGTTGATAATATGAAATTGAAACTAGAATTTTAAAAGTAAGAAGATGTTATATTTCTTATCTCAGATTTCAAGCTGACCTGAGAAAGAATCGTCGATTCAATTATTGCCATTTTTATTCGATTAAAAACTTAGTTTAGTTGAGAGTTATCAATTATCCAGTCCATATAGTCTGCCAAACGAACATAAACTCCTAAAAGTCAAATAAAATACCTTAATTTTCGCACAAAAGTAATGTCGAACTCTAACGTACGAATATACTCACTGAGCATCTTTCAGTATTCATGAGCATGATCATTGATATCGTAAACGACTCAGTGAGTATATACGAGCACGTCATTGGCAACATCATTAATAAGGTACTTTGAATTTTAATTACCTGGGAAATTATCAGTTCCACAATTTTTTGGACCAAAGGAAACAAGACCTACTTGCATGTAGTGTGAAAACTTTGAATGTGGAAACTTTCCGAATTTCATCAATGGACTGCCAGAGTCTCCATTACTGAGAGTTCAAGATTATTAAATGTTCATTTTAATTTTTTTTTCAGTTAACTTACCATGAATCTTTTCCATCCATGCCACCAAAACAAATCTTTTAGGAATAAAAGGATCAATTTTTAAACAACTTTTGTATCCAGAAAGCAACTTACCTGATTATCGAAGATTCTCACACCTATTGTCCTATAAGACCTTTGACATTGAGCTTGAGCAACTCCATCCAAATAAACTCTCTTCTTAACAGGACTTGCATAGCCAGTTTCAGTTAATCCAAATCCAGCAACCTCTAAGTTATGTGATGTAAAGTCAGTTGTTCTAATTCTTGAATCTAAAGGCAAGCAAATAGGCTTAATCCATGCGGTATATTCAACATCTTGTTGCAATTTCAACAATGCAATGTCATTGTATTGAGCAGCTCCAAGTGAATAATATTCTGGATGTACAATGACCTCAACAACTGGAACTTCCAGATGATCATTATTGCATATTACTTCATTTTCGATAGTTTGACAGTCAGGATTTGTTCTTTGATCCCACTCCCCAAGTCTAACTTTTGATAGCTTCCATTTCTTTGGAATTCTTCTATAACAGTGTGCAGCAGTAAGGACAAAACGCTTATTGATCAAGCTTCCTCCACAGCGATGTTCTAGAAATTAATTGTTATATGATACTCTCAATACGAAATGAAAGTGTCCATACCAATTTCATTATCCGGCTTCAAGTATTGGATCAAGGCATACCATGGATATTCGTCAATGAAAGTATTTTCCCCGAGAGTGATCTATGAATCATGTTAAATTACAGTTTAACCACCACAAGCTCGCTTTAAACTTACCTTATCCTGAAAATATATTCCACATTTTGGTACGCTAGGCAAGTGTGAAGACAGTCGAGAATCTAAAGAACTATTCTGATCAGATTCAGTGTCGCAACAAAAATGATCAAGATAGTTAATTCTTTTGCAAAATTTAGTTCTTAAATATGCTCGTTCATCTTGAGTCAAAAATCCTTTTGATGTTAAATTTGTTACAGCTTTACATTCAAAGTGAGGCAAGCAGGATTCTTCTGGTGAGCATGTATTGTGTTCTGGAATATAAAGCTTGTTTTTAATGTCTAAGCTGATGAAGTAGATGAAAGAATCTAATGTAAAATTTACATTAGGGGCCATTCACTTATTACGTAACGCTTTTAAGGGGAAGGGGGGGGGGTCTAAGATTTTGTTACGGTTCAAACAAGGAAATTTTTTTTTCATACAAATTTTGTTACGAGGGGGGGGGGGGTATAAGAAGTCATTTTTTCGCGTTACGTAATAAGTGAATAGCCCCTTAGTTAATTTGTGGCTTTTAAAAAGAGCCTCGAATTAAACTTCAGATTTCATGTTAAAGATTCTAGTCAATCTCAGTAAAAATAATCAATATATGACTTAGACACTAGGTTTTCAATGGAATTCAGTAGCTGATTAGTTTATGTGTTATTTTTTGCATTTTCTATGGCCCATATCTTGAACTTATTGCCCGAGCGGCACACAAGCGTCATATGACGGTCATATGATTGTCATATGACAGCCGTCATCGTCATAAAGACGTCATGAATGACGATCATATGATCGTCATATGATGATAAGACGTCATCACGACATCGTCTCGATTCGATTTATGACCTCATATGATGGTCATTTGACGAAAAATTCGTCACTCGACGATCAAATGAAAACGTCAATTGATGGTCATATGACGATCAAATGACAAAATTACTATCGCGAGACGACGAGCATAAACCGTGATATATATGCTGAATTTTGACTGGAATAATTTTTTAAAATTTAACGAAAACGTGTTAATTTGTGTAGAATAACTCTAAATAATATATATTTTAAATTATAAACATAAGCCATTACATTTAACATACAACTTAACAATATTTAAGATTAATGATAATAACAATAGCTTGATAATAATGATTGACTATTTTCTTGATATTCTTGATTTTTTCACTCATTTTCTTGATTTTCCTCGTCGTTAAATCGGTTTTGATTAGTCAACTTCAACTGATTAGCTTGATTTTCTCTTCGTCGATGTAAATAAATTTTGACGGCTGTTGAAGCATCTTCCGCTGAGCTGTAAGTTCCAGGTAAATGAGCTTCAACGATATTAAAGAATAAATCGAAATGCCCGATAGCATTTTTTATGGAAAATCGTCCTAAGAAAATGGATAAAATTAATTAATTTAACAAATTAATGTGCAGCAATTGCTTCTAAAACTTACCATTTCTAAAATATCATATTCACACACTTTGATTATTCTTAAAAACTTTTAAAATGGATTGAATATAATTTTCCTCCTTCTCACTTCAACTTCTCGAACACAAATGAAGAAAATAAAATTTTCACAAAAAAATGGTAACTTTGATTACTAAAATATTTAATGTCAAATTTTGCAATCATTTTGAAGATCATATTGATGATAAGCATATCTATTTTTGAATTGAAAATCCGTTAGAAATCAGTGAGCATACATTGAATGAAAGCTCATTTACAAAATCTCACAAAAAATTTTGTTCAATCATCGAAATACCATTCAGAAAATAATTATCAGTTTTTACAGTGCAAAAACAGTTCAAAGAAAAAAGTTTAAGCAAAACATACAATCGAAATGGGCAGAAAATCAAAAATTATCGTCATTTATGACTTTCATTTGATCGTCATATGATCGTCATAATATTTTAGAAAAAAAAAATCGTCGTACAATCATCATCGTCATGACGAAGACGCTCATATGACGATCATTTGATCGTCATCGTCAAATTGTGCCGCTCGGGTTGGGAAAACACTCTTTGCGTATGTTCCACAACACTTTTGGTACAAAAAATCTTCTTTGAATTCAAAAATTTCAGATTACTCACTTGGTTTTTTGTTACTATACACACTGGCAATTGAGAACAGCATCAAGCACATTATCAACTTAATAAAATAAGACATAAACAACATTTTTTATCCACAATTTTATTTAAAAATGAACAATAAAAGAAAGTCTTTGTAAATGAATGACTTAGTGCTGAATGTATGACTTACTTTAGACAATCTTAATTTTTTAAGAGAGCAGAGTTCTACAGAATAATTTCAAAAAGAGAGAACATGCGAAGAAATCAAAATGATGTGATTTATTGCTATTAAAATGATGAGATTAACTTTTCCATTTGGGATTCCCCAATTGTGATTTTAATTTATTTTAGCATCGCATAATTTTTTTAAAAATCAGTAATAAGTGTCATCGAGTTCAAACATGTCAGCAAAACTCAGCTAGTATTTAGTATTTTCAATTATCCAATCCATATATTCTGAAACTCGTACATAAACTCCTTAAAAAATAAACAAATTAATACTGGAACGTTAAAGCCAAAGATTTTCCATACCTGACGAATCAGGAGTTCCACACCTTCTTGCTCCAAATGAAACAAGACCAACTTGCATGTAATGACCAAATTTGGAATGTGGGAAATTTCCGAATTTCATTAGTGGACTTCCAGAATCTCCATTGCTGTAGCAATAAGAAATATTTGTGGTTCTATTACTTCTTTAATTATATGATGCATACCACTATGTGGTTCACTAAAAGATTACTTACCATGAATCTTTTCCGTTGTCGCTACCTGCACAGAACTGGAATCAGACACAAAAAGTATCAAATCAACATCTCTTCAAAATATAAAGAATTAAATCCAAGCGACAAGAATAATCAAATTATTTGGATTACAACGTGGAATTGCCCGCAGGACAGGACTCGGTTCCCTAAACTTACATGTTTCTCAAATATCCTAACACCCGCCTTATTATATTGTGCTTGACACTCAGCTTGCGTCCGTCCATCTAGTTCAACCTTCTTTTTAACTGGACTTGTAAATCCAGTTTCTGTTAATCCAAAACCAACAACTTCTAAACTATGTGATGTGAAATCCATACTTCTAATTCTAGCATCAACTGGAAGACAAATAGGTTTGATCCAATTACTAAACTCAACTTTACGTTCTAGTTTAAGGATAGCAATGTCATGGTATTGAGCAACTCCTTCAAAATAATATTCTGGATGCACGAGGATATTGACAACTGGAACTTCAACATATCGATCATTGCAAAAATCTTCTTGACAATCAGGATTTGTCCTCATGTCCCATTCTCCGAGTCTTACTTTTGTTATTTTCCATGTTTTCGGAACTAAAATTTTACAATGTGCAGCTGTGAGGACGTATTGATCATTTATTAAGCTTCCACCGCAGTTATGTCCTATTATGAAATTCAATTTAGAACTTTAACTTTTAAGAAATTGATATTCTTACCGATTCTATTCCCTGGTTTTGAGTATTGAATGAGAGCAAACCATGGGAACTCATCAATGTTAGTATCTTCACCATTAACAATCTAAAATCAAATTAAATTGAAAGATCATATCCATGTCATATCGACAGGAACTTACTCTATCACCAAAATATATTCCACATTTAGGTGCCTCTGGAAGATGATCTGGTTTTGTATCAGAAGCACAACAGAAGTGATTAAGTCGATTAACATAGTTGCAATGTTTGCTTTTAAGGTATGCTCTTTCTTGTGGAGTCCATCCCCCTTTACTTGTTATTTTCATTACAGCTTCACATTCATTTTGAGGTTTGCAAACTTCTCCAGTCGCACAAGTATTGAATCCTTTTAAATTGTGGTGGAACAAAGAAATTAGTAAGTCATAGTAGGAAGAAGTGGGGTCGTTCAAATATTACGTCACACTTTTGACCGAATTTATGTCTATTACTCAGACATAAGTCAAAATTACAGCTAGAATTTATAATACTTATCAGTTATGATTACAAAAATATTTACTTACTTGCTGCATGGACAAAACTAGAGGCAAAAACTAAGACGTAAACTACTAAATTGTTCATTCCGTTATTTAAATAAGAGATCTTCTTAATCTCTTTTGATAAATGTCTACGAAGTATTTAAAAAAATTAAAGATATTTCATTGAATTACAATCACAATAAATAGACCGATTTGTTGAGCAGCTTCGTTTTGAGTAAATGATTAAAATAAATAATAAAATGAAAATGAATTAGTTATCAGTTCAATCCGTAGTACTCATGTTTCTTCAAATTACTACTCGGCCTCGGGATTGATAATAAAATAAATAAAGACAGTGAGAGAAATCCTAAGAAAATGAATGACTTAAACATAAAACACAGGTTTTTACTAAGCATAGAGCCTAATGCAGTCAGAATTTGAAAGACTTAATTATTGAAGGATTAATGAACCATCGATAAGAAATGTTCGTCCAAATGAGGGAATCCCCAAAATGTTCTTATCACGTGTATGCATAATACAAAAATTCTATGTTGCTGAAAATTAAGAATTTTATTCGTTCCAAAAAATAATAATTTTATTTGTTTATTTATATCCTATAGGAACTTTATTGTCTTTTGCAAATGAAATAAGATTTATTTTTTCAATTTTATTTGTTCTAAATTAATTAGTATTTTCAATGATCCAATCCATATAATCTGAAATGCGCGTGTAAATACCTGAAAGTAAATTTAAATTAAATAAAAATCATTTAAATCGAAGGTTGAATGTAAAAGTTAAAAGTACCTGGTGCATCCTTCAATCCACATTTTCTTGGACCAAATGAAACTAAACCAACAGCCATGTAGTATGGAAATTTAGAGTTAGGGAATTGCTTTAACTTCATAAGTGGACCACCAGAATCTCCGTCGCTATATTGAATAGAAAGGTTTGATTACTTAACATATTCTTAATTTAATTGACTTTTTTAAGAAAACTCTACAGTTGTGATGATTTGTTCCTACTTACCAAGAGTCTTTTCCGTCTGTTCCAAGAGCACAGAACTGAAATCATACCAAAAATGTCATTACAAAATCCAAAACCAGCAAAAAACCAATAATTACTTGAGTATTTTGGATATCCACACCTTTTGAGCCATAGAATCGTTTACATTCGTCTTGTGCAACAACATTTAGATCAACTCTCAATTTAACATCACTTTGATAATCATTTTCAGTTATTCCAAAACCCGTAACTTCCAAACTTTGTGCTGTGTAGTCGAGTTCTCTAAGACTTTGATCTATTGGCAAGCAAATTGGTTTGATCCAGGAATTAATTTGAACTTCACGCTCCAACTTCAATAAAGCAATGTCATTGTACTGAGCAGCTCCAGTTTGATAGTATTGCGGATGTTGAATGACTTCTGCAACTCCAATTTCGACAAAAGGCTCATTGCACATTTCTTCATTATTTGCAAAGTATTGACAATCAGGATTTGTTCGTACATCCCATTCGCCGAGTCTAACATGTGAAATTCTCCAACGAGTTGATAGGTTGTTATTACAATGAGCCGCTGTGAGGACATATCTGGTGTTGATTAAGCTTCCTCCACAGTAATGACCTGTAAAAGTGTTTTCAGGAAGGAGAATATTTAACAGGAATTGGCATTGATAATTTACCTTTCTTTATATCCCCTGATGAGTATTCGATCAAGGCAAACCATGGATATTCATCTATAGATGTATTCTGACCGCCAACAATCTGTAAAGTCAATAAAATTTATAAATATGGTCTAATTCTTAAGAATCAGCTGTCGCATAATATGAAAGAGTATATTCTAGAAGTAGGAAATAGCTGTTCTTTTATAGGTTATGTAGTAAGGATTTAAATGGATATTATTGATACTAAGTTGATAAACTCCTGTTTTTTTTGACTCCTAATCTAACCTTGATATTACCTTATCACCAAAGTAAATACCACATTTTGGAGGCTCTGGTAAATTTACTTTCGTTTGTATTTGCGGATTATCCTTTTGTGCAGCACCAGCACAACAGAAGTAATTGAGTCGATCAATATTATTACAAAGTTTGCTTCTCAGATATGCTCGTTCTTGCTGAGTAAGCCGACCTTTGGCAGTAATATTTGTGACAGCTTCACACTCGTAATGAGGTATGCATGACTCTCCTGTTGCGCATTTGTTAATTCCTTCGAAAAAATTAAATAAATAAAATTGATAACATAAGTTTTGTGTTGAATAAAGCTTTCGTTTTAATCATCAAATTTCCAACCCCATCAGTATACAATCAATTAGTGTCGACAACCACTAATAAGTACTGATTAGTTCCAGAGAATAATCAAAAGACATTGAAACAAAATTTATTGATACTCACTTTGTTCTACATCGCAGTAGATAAAGGACAAATTAATCAAAACTAAAAACACAATCAAGTTCTTCATTTTGTCAATTGAAGTTGAGTATAATTAATTTAAAAAGGATTCTTCAAAAACTTTTATAAATGCTAGGTTTTAAAGCTTATTTATCCACAAAATTTAAAATTCCAGAACTTCAATCTTCGAATCGTACAACTAGTCACAGATGAAACAGAAGATTGACTGACTCAAATGCAATAAATTCTCAGCTCCTTTGAATTTATTGATGAAAATATTATGAGAAAGGATTACTACTGCATTTACTCATGACAGCAGAGAGAGAAACTTTTGATGACAGATAAGGTCATCCTTTTAGAAATATAAAAGCAATACTTTTAAGGCTATTTAAAACTTTGCCAAAAAATTACACTGTGCATTAGAGTTGAGCCTCAAAGTTGATCGAAAACATACGTTTTCCATTGCCATTACCATTGAAAGCAGAATTACATTTTTGACTGCAAAGTTTCAAGATTAATTGAACAATAAATTGTACCAAAAAAATCTATTTCCATTTATATTTTTTTATTTATTCAATAAAGGTCATTTAATGATTTTTATACAAGAAATTAGTATATTTCAATTTTATTTGTCCTAAATTAATTAGTATTTTCAATGATCCAATCCATATAATCTGAAATGCGCGTGTAAATGCCTGAAAATAAATTTAAATTAAATAAAAATCATTGAAATCGAAGGTTGAATGTAAAAGTTAAAAGTACCTGGTGCATCCTTCAATCCACATTTGCTTGGACCAAATGAGACTAAACCAACAGCCATGTAGTATGCAATGTTTGAATTAGGGAACTTCTTAAACTTCATAAGTGGGCCACCGGAATCTCCGTTGCTTTATTGAATGGAAAGGTTTGATTACTTATTATATCCTTGATTTTACTGACTTTTTGCATAATTTTAGTTTTTTTAAGAAATCAAGAGAGATGATACCAAGTTCTTTATTACTTACCAAGAGTCTTTTCCGTCCTTTCCAAGAGCACAGAACTGTAATTGATTAAAAATAAATTATTAATGAAATCAAAAACCAGCAAAAACCAATAATTACTTGAGTATTTTTGATATCCACACCTTTAGAGCCATAGAACTGTTTGCATTCGTTTTGTGCAACAACATCTATATCAACCCTTAATTTAACATCACTCTTAAAATCAGTTTCAGTCATTCCGAAGCCAGTAACTTCCAAACTTTGTGCTGTGTAGTCGAGGTCTCTTAGACTTTGGTCTATTGGCAAGCAAATTGGTTTGATCCATACATTCGTTTGAACTTCACGCTCCAACTTCAATAAAGCAATGTCATTGTATTGAGCAGCTCCTGTTTGATGATATTGCGGATGTTGAATGACTTGAGCAACTCTAATTTCGACGTATGGATCGTTGCACATTTCTTCATCATTTTCAAAGTATTGACAATCAGGATTTGTTCTTACATCCCATTCACCGAGTCTAACATGTGAAATTCTCCAACCAGTTGGTAGGTTGTTATTGCAATGAGCAGCAGTAAGTACAAATTGTTTGCTGATCAAGCTTCCTCCACAATAATGACCTGAAGGAATTTTGAAAAGAATGAAACTATTTAAAAGGAAATGAAATTCATAAGTTACCTTTCTTTCTGTCCCCTGATGAGTATTCGATCAATGCAAACCATGGATATTCATCTATGTAAGTTTTTTGACCGCCAACAATCTGTAAAGTCAATAAAATTAATATTAGCATGTATAACTGTTTAGAATAAGTGTCGATCAATGCGGATGAGTATATTTTAGTAAAAGAAAAACTGCGGTTCATTTATAGGTTATGTGGTAAGGTTTTAAATGGATATTATTGATCCTAAGTTCGTCACCCACTTGACTATTGAGTTTAAACGACTCTAATTAAACTTACATTATCACTAAAGTAAATTCCACAGTTTGGAGGCTCTGGTAAATTTACGTTTGTTGGTTTTTTTGGATTTTCCTTTTGTGTAGCACCGGCACAGCAGAAGTAATTGAGTCGGTCAATATTATTACAAAGTTTGCTTTTCAGATATGCTCGTTCTTGCTGAGTAAGCCGACCTTTGGCAGTAATATTTGTGACAGCTTCACACTCGTAATGAGGTATGCATGACTCTCCAGATGCACACTTGTTAATTTCTTCGAAAAGTCCAAAAACAAAATTGATAAGCAAAGTTTTAAATTGATTAAAGTTTTCTTAATAATAATGAAATTTCCAACCCGATTAGCACACATTAAATGGTGTTGAGATGGAGATTTAAAGAATTGTATGCTTAGAAAGCTTCAATGTGCGTCGATTGAGAAACTTCAGCTTATAAAAAGGAGTAAAATCGCACCATCGATACACAACTGTAACTTATAGTGCATATCCAATAATCATGTATATTAATAAAATTGATTTATTGATCAACTTCAAGATTTAGAATTTTTCAATAATTCAAGTTCAAAAATAATGACATAATGAGTCAGTATTTTGATTAATAATAATATTAATGTGTGAAGCTCCACAGCTTTCAGCTGGAGGCACTGCGATTCAAATTAGAACAGAATCTATTGTATCACACCCTTTAGACCTACAGTTTATAGTGGGATCCGAAAAACTTGCAAGCTCTGCACATTGCAAAGACACGAGTACGTCATAAGACCAAGTATTTTGATTAGTTCCAGCAATAAGACATTAAAATAAAATTTATTTATACTCACTTTGTTCTACTTCGCAGTAGATGATGGAAAAATTAACGAAAATTAAAAACACAATCAAGTTCCTCATGATGTCACTGAAAGTTAAGATTAATTACTTTTCAACTCGATTCTATTATTTTTTTATGTAAAACTCTAGATTTTGAAACTTCTTTAAATATAAACAAAACAAAAATCCGTGATAAACTTAAAAGTAAACTTACAACAAGTTAGAGATGAAACAGAAGACTGACTGACTCTCACTAGATGACACATTAAAAAACAGTTAATTCTAAACGAGTTTGACTTAATTATTGAGAGTATGAGAATATCTGAGAGGATTATAAAGTTTATATGCTCATGACAGGAGAGAGAACGAGAGACACACAATCTTAAAAGATGATAATTCAGCATTGATCATTGTAATCTCTTGCAAAAGGTTATTTTGTCAGTGACATTGGGAAGTTCCCAAGCAATTGTATACTCTTTCAAGTTTCTTACTCGTTTGAGTATTTCCATGTGACGTATTGCTGCACAGTATTTATTTTAAAAAGTTTGGAATTCCTGTAAAGAAGGTCGTTCACTTATTATATCTGCAAATAAGAAAAATGAAAGAAATTTGCTAATGCTGGAAGAATATTTGAGTTCAAAAGAAGTTTCATAAATTTCTCAGTTCATTTATTTCAAAATTAATAATTAATTAATGTTGCTGTTAATCCAGTCAATGTATTCTGATACTCGAGTATAAACTCCTAAAAAGTATTTAAATAAATTAAGGATTTATAAATAAATAATAGTTTGTTAAATTCACCTGGAGCATCCTTAGTTCCACACTTCTTAGGACCAAACGAAACAATGCCGACCAGTAAAAAGTGTGGATAAATTGTATTAGGAAAGCTTCCGGATCTCATTAGAGGTCCTCCAGAATCTCCATTGCTAAAAATACAAATAATAAATTAGGAGTCATTGTTAAGTGACGTCCCTCAAAATGTACTAACCAACTGTCTCTTCCTTCCACGCCTCCAGCACAAATCTATACAACAAAATAAATTTTAATTGATTTTTATTTCTGTATAACAAGATGACTCGCTATCTCACCTGATAACTTGTTATACTGACACTCTTTGGTCCATAATATCCTGTACATCTCTCTTGATCAACTCCGTCTACATCTAATCTCATTTTAACATTACTTGATGTTGCATTATCAGTCTTTCCAAATCCAGCAACTTCCAATGATAATTTAGTAAAATCTATTCCACCAACACTGGGATCATGTGGCAAGCAGATTGGTTTTATCCATTTTGAAAATTCAACAGTATCCTTAAGTTTAAGCATCATGATGTCATTTGGTTGACTTGGTGATAATGGAATATATTCTGGATGAACAATAATTTCGATAACATCAACATCCACGTATGGATCATTACACAATTCTTCATTATTGAATTTCTGACAATCAGGATTTGTTCTTGTGTCCCAATCTCCAAGACGTACTGCAGTAAGTTTCCATGATGGTGGAATTCTTCTTTCACAATGTGCTGCAGATAGGACATAACGCTCGTTGATCAAACTTCCACCACAATGACTGCCTGCAAATGATTTTGTTTTATTTGAGGAAACCTTTTAAATATTTTGGATATTTACCGGTCTTATTATTAGATTTTAAGTACAAAATTTTTGCGATCCATGGATAATCTTCTATTGAGGTTTCTACTCCTCCAACAATCTATTAGGAATTATACAAAATGTAACCCTTAATTATGAAAAGTACTTATTTTAAGTACTTACTCTGTTATCAATATGAAATCCACAGTTTGGTGCTGTTGGAAGTTTGGATCTTGGTATAGTCGGTTGTGTATGTTCTGTTTGTAGAGTCGGTTCTGTTTGCAGACTTGGCTCTGTTTGTAGAGTCGACTCTGTTGTAAGACTCAACACTGTTGTTCTTGTTTCATCCATTTTTCTAGCACAGCAAACATGATAAATATGATTAATGTTCTTACACAGCTTACTTGAAAAATATTTTCTCTCATCTTTTGTTAAAAACCCTTTTACAGTCAGTTTCTTGAACTCATCGCACGCGGTGTGGACTGTGCATTCTTCTTGATCACCGCATGCTGGATAACCTTGAAAGATGTAATTGTAAAGAATCAATGTTTAGGGTGATATTGACTTTAATTCAGTAGTCAGTATTGGGGATGATTGTTTGAAATATCACTTAATAGGAGATAGGAAAAGAAATCCGGATCACATCCGGCGCTCGAAATGAAACTCAATGCTACTATTTCAGGTAAACAAGCACTTTACTAATTTAATACTTACTACGTTGAGCTTTAGTATATAAACTTAAAGTTGAAAAGATCACTAAGAACAGAATGGCTGGGTTCATTATTACAGACCTATGAATAAAAAATTTATGTTAAATTAATAATGTCAAGGAGCTTGAACTTGAGATTTATCAAAAAAAATCCCACTATAGTTGATTAATATTTGAGGGATTCTAAGTTTGATGACATAAAGTTTTGGGAATTTTTTTGCAATTTTTGGTATCAATTCCGAGTGTGTTTGCCTTGATAAAAGAAATGTCAACTTTAAAGTGAGAAGCTATGTAGCTAAAGTTGTGTTTACTTTTCAGCATTGCTTTTAATATTTCTCTCATTGATATTTTTTGTGATAATAAAAATGAGGGAGAATATTTATTCAAATAATAATCTATCCTAATAGAACCAAGCAAAAACAGTCACTTTTTGTTTACTTTTTGTCAAAACATTAAGATTTTACAGCATTTAACGTACTACATCAATCTGTAATTCAAAGTTTTGATTTAAATGCACTTGAAACTTAAATTAGCGTTTGTATGAATGAAAATAATCTTAAAATTTGAATACAGTTTAAATAATAATTTAGCAATAGCACAAACCTATTCAAATTCGGCTGAATTCATGCAAAGTATCAATATTTAATCTCTAAAGCAATAAATTTTAACAGAAATAAAAAAACTTTTTATTCCATCAAGTTTGAGAGAAAAGAATCGACTGAAATTAAATTAAGGTGAACAAATTTTTGTAGAGTAAAAGAATCTTTTCAATTAAGCTCAATGAGCGAGTCTAAAATCTTACTTAAGAGAGAAGATCTCATTTTCATTCCAGCTGATATGATCATTGGAGAATACATGATTCCAAGAAAGTTTGAAAACCTGTGACGCAGAAAAGTTTGAAATTTAAACTGAGAGAAAAAGGATATTTTGGGAAAAAATGGGAAATACTTCATAATAAATATAGATTTTTCATTGGAAACTTTACATTTTATTTAAACTTTATAATAACAACTTGAAACTTGATCAATTTATTTTCAAAAATTATTATAACTTCTTTAACCATTTAGTTCTCTTTAGTGTCATTCATTTATTTTGTAACGCAAAAAAAAATTTTATCATCTTTCCATCCAATTTCAGTTCACTTTACTAACGATCCAATCCATAAAGTCAGACACTCGAGTATAAACATCTAAATTAAATTATTATAATATTATTAAAAAATATTTGAAAACCGCAATGTAATTTTTTACCAGGTTCAGCTATAGTTCCACACATTCTTGGTCCAAAAGAGGAAACGCCAACAAGCGTGAAATGCTGAGTGTTTGATTTGGCAGAAGTTCCATATTTCATCAATGCTCCACCACCACTTCCTTTGCTGTAATTAAAGAAATTTAATAAAGCTTTTTAAATTCTACATATTCACCAGAACTTACCAGCTGTTTCTAGCTAATTCAGCACCGGCGCAAATCTATGAAGAAATAACATTGTTAACTTTAATCATATAAAACTTAAATGCTTGCAACATAGCATTTTTAATGTAACTGTAAGGAGCTCAGTAAGCCGTAAGCTATTGCATTAATGTAAGGCATCTTAGAACTAACCTGTGAGTCGAGAATACTAATTTTTTGCGTGTCATAATAAACTTTACAGTCATTTTTTGGTACTTCATAAACTTCAACATTGTTTGCTGTCTTGCTATGTTCATATTCAGATATTTTCAAAACTTTAGATGTAAGATCAACTTTTCTGTCTGCAGCATCAACTGGCAAGCAAATTGGTTGAACCTTATCATTAAATTGAACGTCTTTCTCTAATTTTAATAAAGCAATGTCATTTAAATTATTGTTCGATGCAGCATCATAATTTTCATTAGGAATTATCTCAGCAACGGCAATGTCATTAGCAGAATTGATTCCTCCGAGCTTAACGTGAGATAATACGAATGTTTTTGGAAGTTTTCTAACACAATGTCCACCAGTAAGCACATAACGTTCATTAATTAAAGTACCGCGACAATGAATACCTGTAAAAAAATTAATAATGAATTTGACTTATTAGAGAGCACTTTAAGTTATTACCTTTCTTATTTCCAGGCTTAGTATAAACAATATGAGCAGTCCATGGGAATTCGGTTGTTGCTGATGTCTGGAAGATTTAAGAAATTAAGAGGGGTTTAACGTAAGATTGCAGTCAAAGAAACCGATTCCTATGTCAATCCATGTTGAGATCGATGAACCACATTATGAGATATATGGACATTTAGCTCTAGAAACCGGTTTCTGAATTAAAATGTTTTAAATTAGTTTATGCAAAAGATGAAGAAGCAACTTACACTATCTCCAGTATGTACACCACAAACAGGATGTTCTGGTAGAGCTGAAAGTTAAGTTAAATAAATTCAATTAGTAAAGTGTTAATCATAAGCAATGCGCATCAAAAATCAGATTTATAGGTCCTCTTTCACTTATAATTATATTGTGGCTTCAAAAGATCTGTTACTAAATTTTACACAGCAAATGCTACAAGCTGTATTGACTATTCAATACCGTTATTCGACTAAAGCTAACAAAAAGCTCAGGATTTCCCAACATTTTATTGATTCTGGTTTTTTTAATATTCAAAATATACAGTTGACAATGAGTACTTACATGCTTCTGCCATATTATTGAGAGCTATGACGACAATTAGGAAATTCCACAAAATTAATTTATTCATGATTAGTTGAGATTATTGAAGGATTATTATTAATCAAGTTATGAATGCAAAGTTAGACTGCTTAATATTCTTTAAAATATCATTCCTTTTATAGCTTCTTTAAAAGAGAAAAATGGTCTGATCTTCTGAAATCACCGAGAATATTTTGATGTTAATTTGAGCCAAGAGAATATGAAAGAGAATTAAGAAATTAAGTCTTTGATTTTTCAGTATTCTCGTTAAATCGTCAGAGAGATTCTCTCAAACAGCTGATTTCTGAATCTGTTTTTTTCAATGTTTTGTTCAATTTGAATGCTTATCAAGTGTGTTTATAAAATGTATCAGAAGTCCTACACAAGATTAATAAAAGGTTATTTAAGATGAACTGCAATGAATGATTGTAAAAACAGTGCAAAGATTATTTTCGGATAGATTGAATATTGAATTCGGATGATAAGCATAAAATGTCAAAATTCCCGTCCTTAAATCAAGATTAAATATGAATGAGGGAATTCCAAGGATTGTCCAAGTAATAATATTGAATAATAGAAATTAAATGGAAATGAATATTTGCAATTAAACTGATTATTTGTTATAATCTGGGACTATCCCAGTTTTGCTTAAATCATGTGCAAACAAGAAAAAAAGTAATGTATAAAAATAAATAATTTTTATTGATTTGAGCTATAAAATCATCATAATTTCAATTTTTTTTGTTTTTTCTAAGTTTTTTAAAAACTTCGATTTTTTTCATATTTCAAAAAAATGATGAGCATTGTCATCCTTTATTGAAGAGACTAAAGTATTTAATCCTAGAAATTTTTTCTTTTTCTTTTTTTTTTCTTAATTTATTCCTCTTTTTTTTTACGATCCACAACTTAGTAATCAAAATTACGAATTTTGAACCTTGTTCTCAATCCAATCCATGTATTCAGATACACGAGTATAGACTCCTAAAAATTAAGAATTGAACCTTTAAAACTTTGTATTGAAATTAAAAAGTTAAAGAAACCAACCTGGAGCATCCTGTGTACCACAATTGATTGGACCAAATGAGACGATTCCAACAAGCATGTAATAAGCAGCAAGTGAATTTGGAAAATTTCCGTATTTCATGAGTGGACCTCCTGAATCTCCATTACTGTAATTAAATCAATAAATATTTCAAAATTCACAATTAATTTCAAATAAGCTTACCAACTGTCTTCGTCTTTTTTACCGCCTGCACAGATCTAAGGATTGCCAAACTTTGAATCAATAAAATTCTTGAGAATCAAAAATTTTCAAACTTACCTGAGAATCATCTAGATTAACGTTCTGTGTACTATAATATTGTTGACACTTGTTCCTTGCAATTCCATCTATATCAAGTCTTTTCATGACTGGACTAGAGTTTTCAGTTTCTGAGGTTTTTCCAAATCCAGCAACATCCAAGCTGTGTCCTGTATAATCAATATCTCTTAAATCAGAAGTTAAAGGCAAACAGATTGGCTTAATCCAATCAGTATAAACGACATCTCGTTGAAGCTTTAAAAGTGCAATGTCGTTGTATTGATTTCTTGAGTGCATGTCGTATCCTTCATGTGATATAATTTTTTCAACAGGAACCTCAACATATTGAACGTTACATACACGTTCATTAACAAGTTGTTGACAGTCAGGATTTGTTCTAGTGTCCCAATCACCTAGTCGAACTCCAACAATGTCATAATTTACTCTTTGTTTAATCATAATATCGCAATGTGCAGCTGTAAGGACCCAACGTTGGTTTATAAGACTTCCTCCGCAGTGGATGCCTGTATTTTAATATATATGTTAAATATATGAAATATTTTAAATTATGTATTAATTTACCAATTGATCTTCGTGGTCTCGAGTATAAAATTTGAGCAACCCAAGGATAGTCATCAATGTTGGTGTTTTGACCTCCATAAATCTATTAAAGATAGTTGAAATCAAGTCAATTTTAAATAAATTGGTAGGATCTTGGATTAGATATTCAGATTACAACCAGCTCTATTCCTTAGTCTGCAGAACTCTTTACAAACTCTTAATGATTTACGATAAAGAGGCATTCTATTAAAATATCAAGTGGACAACAATAAAAAGCTCATGAGAAATGAAGATTGATGAAAGAAGGATAAGCTAGTCGGATAAGAAGATCAGCGAATCTTTCAAACCCTTAAAAACCTTAATTACTCACTCGATCTTGTTGATAAGATCCACAAGCTGGAGGTTCAGGGAAAAATTGCTTTGCCGATGATTGTGTAACCGTAGTTTTTGGTAATGGCTCTGTAACCGTAGGTTTTGGCTGTGGTGCTTCATTACCACAACAGAAGTAGTTTAGAACTTTGACTTTGTTGCAATGTTTGCTCTTCAAATATTGTTTTTCCTCTGGGGTTAAGTGACCTTTTGAGGTCATTGCTGTTATGTCTGGACAATCATAATGTGGTGTGCAAGTTTGTCCATTTGAGCAGGTGACAAAGTCTGAGAACATTGAGATTAAATTATGATTTGGGTTGACAATTCTGTATTTAGAATAAATTTTAAGATAAGTAGCTTTAAGCTGCACTTTTGAGCGACACATTCGCATTCGATCCTGATCATTTTTTTTTTCATTTTAATTGCACTTAATTGCATTTATTGACGACATACTGTCCGGTAATAATTCACATTTTACACTTTAGTATTTGTATACATATGAATTAATATTATGTAGGATCAAACTTCTAATCTTCAAATCTAGGTTTCAAATAAACTAAGGCTCTCGTTTCGATCTTCTGTAGGCGTGACGTGATACTTTTCAGGTCCGTTCTAACAATATTCCATTCGTGGGTAATCTTGTAGCTCTCGTTCCTATTTCTCCCGCTACACTTCAAGTTCCTGACCCGTTCCTTAATCCAACGTTGCCCAAATGCCCAATTATGGCTTGATCTCGTACATTAAGCAGTCGAAGTATCTAAACTTCCGAAAAAGAACAAATTTGGAAAATGGCTGGATTCGAACCGACGACCTTCGAGTTACCATCCCAAATTTGAGCCAAGCGCCTTACCTATTCAACCAGCAAGGCACTTAACTGCTTAATTTACAGAATCTATTGCATTATTAAGCCATAAACTCCTGCGCCCTCACTTATAATTCCATTGTCATTCATATTCACACAAAATTTTCAATTTTTGTGAATATATCTTTTCATTGCAATCAGTCACTCTTATAATTGAATCTCACAAATTTATTTACTCACTCGATTGTGCGACAGCTGAAAATGCTAAATTAGCAAATAAAAGGAAGTAAATGACCGGCTTTCCCATGATTTCAAATGATAACCTTTGGGAGTAGATCAATAACTGTTTCAAACTATTAATTGGATTAGCTAGTAACCGCAATTTGATTAAAAACCTTGAAAAACTCAGGTTAGAATTCTAATGAAATTCAATTCCAGTCAGCTAATTTAATTCCTACAACAAACTAAGCGCCACTGAATTAATTGAATAAAATATCAGAACTGAGAATAGAACTTGATACGTCAAAATGTTAAAACAGACTAAGATGTTTTATTGCTGTGACTGCAGATGTGTACTGAGCGCAAGGAATTTCCCCACAGGCATGATTTTTGAGTTACGTTGAATGAAAGCTTCAAAACAAGTTTCAATAGTTCGCAAAAAAAAAAATTTGAAAATCATTCATAGTTGCGAATTTTTAAGTTTATTTTATTGTCAATGTTCAAAGTTTTAATTTTTTTGAAGAAAGGCTGGAAAAATCCCAGAGAGATGTTGGAATAACACAGAAATTTAAGAATCATCTGAATTTTAAAAATGTGTAGGAATTGAATATTCAAACAAAATATTGTTGCATACGATTAAGGGGAAAATGTCAAATTTTAAGCTCGATTTCAATTAATTTTTAATTTTTATAATTGACATAGTGTTATTCATCCTCGTCCTTACTTTAGAGTAAAATTTAAAAAAATCTTGATTTTTTCATGAAATTTAAAAATAAGTTGAGAGCCAAAAGTTAATAAATTTTTATCTTAGCACAGCGATGAAAACTTAAAAAATAAATGTCTAATCTCTGAATAAAAATAACGGTTTTTTTCAATTCAAACCGATTTCATTGGATAACATGAAATGTTACATATGTTATAAGCTGATATACCATAATAACACATATAACAAATCTGATGCATAATAAATTCTTTAACTAGTTATTGTGCAAAGACTTTTCTTTTAAATCAGTCAAGAAATATTAAATCAGAATCAAATAGAGTTTTAAACTAGCAAGTGACAACTTAAAAATGCCAAAAGTATCCAATCGTACACCAAGAGGATCCTTCAGTGAATATGATGTAACTGCGACAAAAGTAAAACATTGTGCATACTGCAAAATTCATGATAAATTATTTCCGGAAAAGAACCATAAGTCAAAGTGCAAGTTCAACAATACTGAACATTTTTCGACTTGCAGACCATGCTATCAAAACCACAAGAAAGCCACAAATGTCAAAAATTGGCGAGAGAAAAAGAAAAACGAAAAAGACGCTGGCAATGGCATAAATGATTTTTTGGGAAATCTTATTGAAAAATCTGAAGTTGGTAAGGATTTTTTTAATATAATTATATAATCAAGTTTTAATTCTTTTTAAATTGATAGATTCGATAGCAGTTGAATGTGAGGACATCCTCGGAGCAATAGAAACTCAAAACAGCTTAATCCAAAACTTTGGGGCAGAGCAAGTTATAGAAATGGAAGTCGATGATGAAATTGGTATGTTTTAACGGTTTTAACTGTAATTTTTTTAATTATTTAAGATCCTTTGGTGAATTAATAGGATCTTAATAATGATGTGTTGCTAAAGTACTTTAAAAACACACTATAACTTGATTTATTCGAATAAAAATTACACAATTTTTTTTTTATTTTCTAGATTCACAAAACATAAGCTACATGGCCCCTCCTCCATCTGAGATTCCAGACTCAAACATGAATGATCTAGGACTTATCCTTGCAGTGATGCCACACAATTATCCTTACAATTCCTTCAGTGATGAAGACACATGTGCATTGCAAACATATGTTGAAGACATGATTGATAATATGACAGAAGGAAGCAATTTTCCTAAATTTTCCAGCAGCATCAATGAATCTGGATACTGGAGAGTCAGCTGTGTTGATGATTTTACTCGCCAATGGTTTTTGGATATCATTACAAACTTTATGGTGTCCGTAAATGGTGCAGATGAGCCAATTAAAGTTGTATCGATAAATGATGTAAAGAAATGTGTGCTAACTACAGTTATACCTGCAGACACTAATGAATCAAATGATCCAAATAGAATTTTAAATAAGTTTCACAAACATAATCGTTTTCTAGACATTTCAAGATGGAATGAGATAATTTTGGAAGTTTGTAATGAAGGCTACAAAATGAAGTTTGAAGTTGATTCGATGAGTTTAAGACAAATTATGAATAACAATTTCACATTGAATTATGGAATAGAACGACTTAAGCTTGTTTTAATTTAAGATTTAATATTTTTTGAATAACATTTTAAGAAACTTTGATGAAATATTTTATTAAAATTTAAACAAGGATAATGATTATTAATCGATTTAAAAATTAAAATGAAATATTAGGAACCGTTGAAAATGAATTCTACATCATCGGAGAACTTTTTTCTTATTTTTCATTAATTTTCTCCATTGCAGCATTTTATATTCTTAACTAGTCTTATAGATTCCACCGAGGCAAAGATTTTAATACCAAAATTAAGTATGAACGATGTCTAGTTCCTTCTGAGATGATGTAGAATTTTCGGGAATGGGTAATTTGAGTTCATAAAACTACTTAAAGAATTTAAAATACTTCAATTCACAAATATTTGTGGAAAAACCTATAGCGACAGTCAAAAATTTAAAATTTCATTTTCCTTTTATTTTGGACGGGCTCCATTACCTAAAATAAAAAATAATAAAATATTTTCAAATGGTTTGATTTAATAAGCTTTATCAATACGCATAAATTATATTGGTAAATAAATTTACATTTAAAAATTATAAAAACATAACCCATTAAAAAACGTTTTAAATTAAATTTTAACTGTTGACCAAAATTTAATATAATTAAACATACAATGGATAAGGATGACAATGTCATCATTATTGAAATATGAAAAAAAAAACAATAGATTTTAAAACTTAGTTAAATGATAAAAATATTACGTTTTCAATAGCAAATTGAAAAGTTTTTATGTTTAAAATTGTTTCTGATTATTCAATTAATAATCATTTAATAATTTTGTTGATAGAACAATTTTTTTCCATAACAGCAAATCAATAATGTTTTTTGATTAAAATAAAAAAAAATAACAAAATAATTAAAACTAGTGCTGCCAAAAAATATGATAATGTTGTAACACCAGGTTCATCTATTTCACAAGATTTTAAAGATGAAACAAATTGTAAATTCTTTGAATCTTTATCGATGGTTTTAATAAGATTAAATAATTGGTTTTTATTCATTTCATTTACATCATCATAGCCCTCCCAGAACAAAATGACATTTCTGGAATCATAAGAAACCAGAAATAATTGTTTTTCGAATTCATTTTGAATATTAAGATTTAAAATTTTTATTAAAATACTTTTTGATGTCAATTCTTTGTTCGATTCAAAAATTTTGCTAATTATTTCATTTGAATATTTAGCAATGTATGAAATCCATTTGCTTGGAAATTTAGCTTTTAAGTTCCAAATTCTAATTTTGTCAAAACCGAATTCTCGCTCTTGTGGAGTTTCAAATGTAAGAACAAAAATTCTACTTTTTTTATTTAAATTTTCTCCAACAGAAGTGATTAGCATATCATTTTCAACTAAATCATATTGATTGTCTTCTTTTTCATTTAGTTTTAGTTTACTCAAAAATGAATTAACAGAACAGAATTCTTTTTCCTCAATATTGTATTTGGTAACTTTGTGGTTCTGTTTAGGATTTGGTGTTTTGATAAATAAATTGCTCAAATCATGCTTTATTTTTAAAACTTCTTTATTTAAAATCAAATTATTTTGGTTTAATGCTTAAATTGGCAAAATGGAGGGGTATATTTCATCAATTTTTTGAAATAAGAATTTTACACCCTGATAATTTAAATCAAAGTTTAAAACATTGCGTTTTACCTTTTGATCAAGATTTTTCCAATTAAAAACAATTTGCTTATTTATATACTTATAATCAAAAGAGCTAATATTAATTTCTTCATCATTTAATATATCAATTATATGTTGAGGCTTTAATAACTCAAAATCTTTTAAATTTTCAATTGCTAAATCATAAAATTTCACTTTTTCTCTTGTGTACAAAACTGTTGACATCTTAATATTGTGTTGATCATCACTACTTAAAAAATCGTAAGTTGTCCAATTAAATTTCACAAAACTTATTTTTGCAATTTTTTCTTAATTTAACCAAAAATTTAACCTTCGGATGTTGAAGAGCAACTGCACAAAATAAGCTGATTTGATGTTATCTTTAATTTTAATTCTTCCACGTTTACTTATTCATATACACAAATTAGGGGTTCCAGAATTCCCGTTCCCGTAAGATTTCGGGAATCGGGAACGGGAACGGGAATGATGTCCGGGAACGGGAATATTCCCGGGAATCAACAAAGAAAAAAAAAGTTAAAAGCTACACTTACACCATGTATTTTATTTAGGTTTTTAAATCAAATTTAAATTCTATTTGATTTGATTGTCAAATTGATTCTTTTGACAATAATTTCTGTTTAAAATTCAATTCTTTTTGGGTTTAGAACAATTCTTAGGTACGATTTCAAAAAACTGATTGCATTAACATGCTGGTCTACGAATCTACGAATATCTACATGATTAAATTACAGCTTATGAACTGATTTTTTGATTACTTACATATCCAATATTAATTTCAAGCACGTTTTTTTATTTTGGAAAAATTACTTTAATCCAATGTCAATTAAGTTCATTATTTTGTGGACATCATACATTTAAAAAAATATTTTTAAATACTTTTTCTCTTCGTTTTTCATTAATATATGTTTTTGATTTAAAAAACATCAAATTTGAGTTTAATATTTCAACTCTAAAATTCCTTAACGTATGTTTTCATTATTATAATTTTTTTCTTTAAATTGTAGTTTTTTCATGGAACATACAAAATAAAAAAAAATCTAATTTGAATTGTCGGTTTTTTTTTTTTTTTTGGTATGAAAACGGGAATTTCGGGAATATTCCCGACAGATTTTCGGGAAACGGGAACGGGAACGGGATTCCCGTTCCCGGGAATTCCCGGGATAATTCCCGATTTTAGAACCCCTAACACAAATAGGAGTCTACCCTTCGGTTCATTAATTCTAAATAACTCGTTGAAGATGAGCTATCAAACCGAGCTCTCCTACTGTGTTCAGTTATAAAAATTATATCTCTTGTCTGCCAATTAAATTGAGTTATTAAGCTCCCTTTTAGAAAAAAGTTCCAAAAATGCGTTAAAAACTATCTTTTTTAAATCACAAAAACACATTTATTTCGCATAAAAAGTAAAAACCATGTAATATCGAGAAATATTATGTTTAATTCATAGAACAGACAAACAAAAAGAGTTTCAAACTTTGGGAAATATTTGATGATTAATAAACCATAAATTTGATTAGAAAGAAAATGATTAAAATGATTCTATAAAAGTTTATTTCTAAACAAAAATTATTAAATAGCGATAAGTTTCAAAGAAAATCTTATATGTAGTGTATGAATTTTTTATATTTATTTCTTTAGATTGAGCAAGTGTCAGCCAAAAAAAATTAAAAACTTTCCAAGTGTTTGCATTTTATTTAAAACTTTTGACTAATGTAATGAACATTCATATTTTAAATTTTTCTTACAATAAAAAATTGTAAATGTGAATAAATTAAAAAAAACCTTCAGAAGAAATTGAAAATATACAAATTCATTTTTAATAGATTTTATTTATTTTGCAATTTAATATTCTTTTTATTTTAAATTCATACTGTAAAGCAATTGTTTAAACTGTATTCAAGAACGAAATCACAAATCCATGTAGCTTATAAATTAAATAGTTTTTTTTTATGAATCATTTATGTGTGTACATGTCTTGAATGTGGTAATACAATTCTTCAGCTATAAACGACTCGCGAAAAGTCAAAAAAACCAACAATTTCAAGAATAGAAACAGCAATTTTTTGCAATATAAAGTTACCTGAATTATATTTATTAGCAACGAAGCCAGGATTTTTTAGACAATAAATAGAATCTATGAAAAAAAATTAATATAGGGAGTTCCAAATGTTACGAAATCAATTAACCTTCTTCTCCATACTAAAAATCGAACGTAATAAATTGTAATACCTGTTTTCAATCACAGATCCGCCATTTATAATCGCTGCCATTGAAAAGTTCATAAAAGGAGGGACGTTACATTTTTTCATAAAGATTTACGATTGGCTTTCAGCAAAAACAATATGTAAATTTTAGATCATGAACAGTTTTAAAAAGTCTACCTGATTTTCTTGTCACTAATGCATAGAAAACTGGAAACAAAATATTTCTTACTTATTAAAAATTTTTGTGGCTGACAATGACTTCTTGAATTTTTACCAGATTCATTCTTAGATTTTTAATATCGAAAACTTTAATTGTCTAAGTGATCTTTACAAATGTTATACAAACAGCTTAACTCTCCAATTTCCTTTCATTATTACTGTATGCAAAAATGTTGTATAAAAATATTTAAGACTGTGTAAGTTTTAAAAAGTTCAAAAAAATATTTCTCTTCATTCATTAATTTTTGCTCAATGCGTTAACATCGCCGAGTATTGTTTAACTGTTGGTTTATTTCAATCTAATACAACTATAAAGTGGTGAAATTTAAATTTAATGAAAAACAATTATTTGGTTGTGTAATGCTATATTCAAATTATTATTCAAATTTAAAATTGGTTATTTAAAAAGTGTGATAATTTCCATATTAATTAAAAAATGATGTATTAACTGTAATAAATTACAAAATAAAAATGAATTTGAGAAAATTTTAGACTAAGTCTTTAAAATTTTGTGAAGTGGACTATAGAGCTAATTATTTTAAAATTCACATTCAAAAATTCTGCAATAAAGTTGAAAAAAAGAGTAAACAAAAAAACTAAGATTTATTCATTATATTTGATTTTAAATATTTTTTCAGTTTTTTAGAAATTTATTAATTTATTAATGAATTTTTTTACATTTTTAAGCATTTATAATTTTTATTGATAAAATTAGTGTATTCCAAACTGTTTGTCGTATTTTTTTGGAAACATTTGTGATGGTCGTGGTTTACCTCAAAAAGTTTGAACAGCACTGTATTGAATAATTGAATTTAATCAGTGATGAATGACTGTTTTCTAGAATTTAGAACTAATTTAGCATCCAAAAGTTTCCACAAAAAAATTACAGGATTTCTTGTGTAATTTTTGATTTCATTCAAAACATAAGACTCAATTAAAGTAAAATCAATTGAAGTCTCTTTTCAAGAAAATTAATTGAAAGTAGTGTAAGTATTTTATTCCTATTTAATAATATCACATTTGCCATCCGCACTCATAAATATTAATTTTTGATGCATACTTAAATGGCAATTCAGAGTTGAAATTTTCATTCAATACCGGATCAGTCGCCATTTTTTTTAAAATAATTTCTAATACACTGACATCAAATACACAATAACTGTGAGAAATTTTTTTTTTCGTGTGTGCATCGATAATTCTAAAACTGTTTATCCCCCTTGACAAGTATCATTTTTTTTTTATTTAAAGAAGATTGGCTGGTTCAAATCAATAAATAAATACGCTTCAACAAGATTATTTTGATCAAGGCGTAGAAACTCAGGATTAAACCTAAAAAATCCCAAAAAAGCCCATAAACATAAACATGTGAAATCCCTTTTAAATACCGAAATTATTTTTAGGATTTTTGGGATTTTTCACGATAAATCCTTAGTTTCCACACCTTAATTTTAATTCTTCAATTAATAATGTTGACATAATTTGAATTTATTAAAATCAACCCTAACCTCCTTTATTACAGAATCTCACCACGTGTTCTCATCAAAAAATCAAAAGCATTTAATCATGATGTGCATCCAACTGACCGACTATTTAGCTAGTGAATATTAATTCATTTTTAACAATTATTATTTAATCATTTAATTTGTTTTATATTTTAGTTTTGTATTTAATGTTTCAATTCGTTTATGAATGCTTAAAAATGTTCATGATCAGTTTCTTTCCACATTATGGCATGATAGGCAGCATATACATAATGTCTTCAACATTTCCAGATCTTGCGTTTACCCCGATAGAACAAGTAAGATTTAAAGAAATTATATATGACAGAAGAGATGCGTATAATGGTCATATAAAACCCAAATTTGATTTAGTATCGCAAGACCGATTTATAAAGTTTAAACCATTTAATGACAGTATAAAGTGGATCTTAAAAGAGTTAAAAACAACCGAAAATCTTGGATCTTTGTTAATAACATCAGAAAACGGTTTACCTTGTGTGATACTTCGCTCGGTCGTTAACTTTCCGAGACTGACAATCAATACGTTTTTGACGAGTTTAGGACCTATTGCAGAGAGATGGCGTGTATTGAGCATGAGTCAACTGAATCAAAATGAATTTGATGTAATCTTTCAAGTTGATGCAAACGGATACGATACAGTTTTGAGACAAAATTGGATTCCATTTGGACATAACAAAATTGAAATACACTTGGAAAGAATTGTAAAACCAAGAATCATCACGTGTGGTGGGCTGTCTATTGAAGAACCGAATCAATTTTTTTATGCAGCTTTTTTCATGACGATCTTATTAGGAATCTCGACTTTTGGATTGATGGCAGTTTTTTAATAGTTTTTTAATATATTTGTTTAATTAATTAATTTCTGGATTTTTTTCAATATTCATTTTTTTTTTCCTATTTCTCCAATTTTCATAATTTTCAGATCGAATCTTGAGATTTTTGATTTTATTTTATTATCAGAATGTTTTAAAAATATTAATTTAATTGCTCCGGATCGTCAACTTGAAATATTTATTACATCGAATTGATAAAGTTGAATTTCATTTGAATAAGTTATAAGTTTCTATAGTTTTTCAATTTAATTCAATTAAGAATACATTTGTATTAGTTTGTTCATGTATTATGTAGCACTAGATTCACTATTGAGTCAGTTTAGAGTTTTAACATTAAAATTTCCGATGACTTATTTCCTGCTAATTATTTGTGGTATTTTATACAGCCTCTAGTGGTTAAAATTGTATTATCAACAAATGCGAATATTGTGTTATCATCACTTGTTCTCCATGTTAGACTCGATTGCTTTTTTTTTGTCATACATACTTGGTTTGTATATTTGCAACAAAAAAATTGAAGCTTAGCAAATATGAACATTGCATTTATGTGCATTAGCCATGAAAATTAGTGATAAATAGTTCAGGATGTCAATAGCTTCAGCTAGATCAAGGCATAAATAATGTCATAAATGATTTCATAAATTTTGTTCATTTTAGACTCATTTTAAAAACATTTTTAAATTTAAAAGAGTTTTTTGGTAAACTTCATGTTGAACCTAAACTGAATAACGCGCGAAATAAAGAGTTCAATAGTTGACATCACGTGGCACTAAGTCAACTTGCACATTTTGCCGTTCGAGTCACAACTTTTATTCACCAATCTTTCATTTAACTTTAAATATTATTTTTTTTACTTTTTTTATAATTTCATATTGGAAAGATAAAATAATAAAGTCTTCCTTACTTTTTCAATTATTTACACATTTCACTTATTGATCACATGTTAGTCCATTTCTTATCTAAGAATTGATTATCAGTTTTTAAAAATAACGATGTGACTTCGAGCTTTATGAATCTCATACTAAATATTAAGTACGTTGCCACTTGACGATATTATGAATGTTGAAATATGAAATGATTTGATGTGTTCATAAATAAAATATATAAATTTCATAAACAAGTAGGAAAAAAAATAAAAAAAAGATAAAATGTTAGTAGTATTTTATTTGACACAAGTAAGGGGCCGTTCACTTATGACGTCCATGAGGGGGTGTGAAATGAAATTCCATAAATGAAATTTTCTTTTGAGCGACGTTATGAATCGTGTGAGATTCATAATGATTAGCAACAAAGATTTAAATTCTGCGTGCATGAAGAGAGGAAGACTTTAAAGATGGTGTGACGAATAGCCGAAGATCTGGGGCGAAGGACAGAGAGGCACGAGCAAGGCACGAGTAGACGAAGAGGACACATCGAGGAATATAAAATAAATAAATATAAGGATTATTATTATGGGGTCGTTCACTTATTACGTTCGCATTTTAGGGGGGAGGGGGGTTTGAAAAATTGTAACAAAATGTAACATAGGGGAGGGGGTGTCAAGAATTATGTAACGTTCTAATTGTCGTCTGTCTTTTAAAAAAAAGTTCACGAAAAAAATCTGTTTAAAAATTCACACCAAAAACATTTTTTTAAATTTTCCACCTTTTTATCAAAATAAAATAAATTATGAACGTTCAGGGGGGAGGGGGGGGGGTTGTGAATTGTAACATATTGTAACAAGGGGGCCCCTATATATATATTAGAAATTTATTGTGAATATTTTAAATAGATTTGAACTCCGACACACAGCTGAATAAATTAGAGCATAATTTGGAAGGAAGCAACTATTTTTCATTCCACAAGATATTTAATTACAGCTAGTTCAAATAAGTCTCATATCGAATGTCATCACATAAATAGGTAAACCCAGGTTTACCGCATAGGGGTGTCAGCAAGAAAAAAACAATAGTATTCCTGGAAATCCATTGTTAATTTTTGAAAAATGACCGTTCATTTCGGACGTCATAAGTGAACGACCCTTAAACAGGTCTCATCAGATGATAAGAAAAATGAAAATAAAGATCAAGCTAGTTATCTTGATAAATATAAATTATTTTATATGGTGTGAATGTTTCACTCGATTATGATTTCGAAAAATAGATTTTCTCAGATTTTAAAATATTTTAATCATAATTGAACAAGAACAGACAAGTGTGTGTCAAAGTGTGAGTGATCTGAATATATAAAATCTGAATAACATGCGCCAAGCTTCAATATAGTGATGTAGAAAGATTATAGAATGTGTTTTTTTTGCAAGAATTGAGCAGGCACTATGTATGATCCTTTTTTTATACGTGGCTAAAACACGCTCGACCTAAGCTACTACAAACTTTATTACTATTGCTACCAACGTTAAATAATGTAAATTAAAATATTTGTAATTTTTTAATAAAAACGATTTTCATTATCTAAAATAGACTTGAATTTTGTACAAATTTATATTGCTAAGAATATTTTTATGCAGAAATATGAAATTATCATGGGGTTATCGGTGTTCAGGAAGTTTTTTTTTGCAAATATTTTTTAAAATTGAATTAAAGCGCATTTTTAAAATTAAAATAAAAAATTGTAACATTGACAAATCAATGAAAAGACTTCAACACAACGAAAGTCTATGAAAATTAAATTTGCGCAAAATGTGAATGTATCAGTGAATAATTTTATATATTTATTTTTTCAGAAACGAGCTATTTTTATTTATTTTCCAATCTTCTCTCTAGCTATCAAGTTGAAGCAACAAGATTTTTGAGGACTTTTAATTTTTGATATTTTTTATTTTTTTAAGCTAAAACAATAATAAATGTACATCATGTGATTTTATAATTTTTTTGAAAAAGTGATTAAAAATTGCAAAATTTTGCAAACGATAAAATATTAAAATTAATTTCAATTCTGTGAAAAAAATAATTTGTTAATAAATATATTAAAAGTTTAATAGTTGGTTTTTTGAATTATTTTGTGATTTAAACTTTGATTTTTCAGATTTAATTTTTGAAACATTGTTTGCAAATTGATTAGTTAAATAATATTATAATTTATGATTATTTTGATGTTCAGTTTTAAAAAAAATTATGATTTATAATCGCGGTTATTTTTAGTTCAAAATTGATGTTATATTGCAAAAATTGTCAATTTTTTGCAACCTTGTCAACCCCTCATTAGCCTTCGAAATAAATTCCGAATGATTATATAATTCAATGAAAAAAATAATATTTTTATTTCTAAATCAATTTGTAAGTTCAATCTTCATTAATTAACTACCACCTCAATTTCAAGTGAGATTTTATTTTATTTCTGATATTTTAAAAGTCATAAATTGTCAACTCGATTTTATCAAAAAACAAAATGGTAGAATTAATAAGTTGACTTCGAAAATTAATTTTTGAATAATTGAAAAATTTCCTTGTTTGAATCGTAACAAAATCTTAGACCCCCCCCTCCCCCTAAAAGCGTTACGTAATAAGTGAATGGCCCCTAACGTACTTCTGTTTCTAGTACATCAGGTCTTATGACGTACTCGTGTCTTTGCAATGTGCAGAGCTTCCAAGTGGTTCGGATCCCACTATAAATTGTAGGTCTAAAGGGTGTGGTACAATAGATTTTTTACAATTTGAATCGCAGTGCCTCCAGCTGAAAGGCTGGGCCCTTCACACATTATTATTATTATTATCTGTTTCTAGTATAATTTGACATTTTAGATTTTTAAAAAACAATTCTGACTTAATTTTCAGATTTACGAGATTTACTAAATAAACTTGAACCAAAATGGATGATGTCTTATCGTGGGTCTTAAAAGCTGGTAAGTTAATCATATTTTATAAATGTTCAAATGAGCTTTAATAATTAAGCATTTTTATCATTTGTAGGTCTAAAAATGAATTCTAACCTCCTCGTCATTGTTATTTTTGGAATTATAATATGTCCAAATATTCATCGCAGTCTTCAGATCTTATTGATTAAGTGCATTTGGAATATGCATAAAATTCATTTAAAATTAATCAATTATCCTGAAATAACAATGTCATTGCTTGATCTCAGTCTTTTAAGGAATGTATTACACGATGCTTCTCCTGAACTTGGATTTACTGCAATACCTTCTAGTGGTATTTTGACAATTTTATGTTTAAAATCAACAATTGTTAAAGAAATATTAGAATCGATCAAAAGACTTAATCTTCATAATAATCTAATAATTGGCATTGAACATGAGAAAGTAAAAATCATGTACAGAACAATAGTTTCAAAGGTTGTTACAATTGAACAGTTTATCACAAGATTGCGAGGATTATCATCCAAATGGGTTGTAAAAAGTATTAAGAACAACAGCTCAAGACAATCTGTAATAACTTTTCTAGTCAATTCTGAAGGGCACAATATCATTAGAGCAAATAATAATAAACTTTGGTTCAAAGGAAGTGAAATTTCTGTAGAACTCGTAAAATCAGTAAGACTGTTGATAATGACGTATGATGGAATTGATTATGAAGAGCCTGAGTATCTTAAATTAGTATCTCGATTTATAACCTTCTTGACATGTTTTTTCATTTATTTTATGTTTTAAAGAAGCTTAGGAATGGTTTGTTAAAGATTTTATTGTGTAGGAATTCCATCAACAGAACATGCTTAATTTTTATATCAACACAATGTTCGACAAAGCCATATTTTTCTAACAATCTTGATTGCAAGTTGTTTATTCAAATGATTTTTTTGCCACTTCTTCTTTTATTTTAAATGAATTTTTCATATAAAATTTAGTATTATTGAGTATTATTGAATTATTATGCACAAATGGAATTCCCAATGATTTTCATCAAACAATAATTAATCTTCTCGGATAAAATCCCTAAGCTTCTGAGGAAACCACGTTGCTATTTGAAAAAGCAAGATTTTCAGACTTAAATTTAAGTTGAGTACGAATTTTAGCAGCTTATGCGAAAGTTTTTGAAGATTTTTGACTTTTTGTTCAAGAACTTTCAGTCAGTCTCATAATCAATGCTCGGCTGTTCGAACAAAGACTTCAAAACTCTTCTTAACTTCCTCTCAATTATCTAATCTCTTCATGAAAATCATAATTTCAACAGATTTTGAAATATTCCCAGAACTTTGATCCTTAAAAACAGAGCTCGAAGTCGACTCAAGAATTTCATCGATTTTGTATGGCGAAGTCGACTCTGAGTTGACTCGACTCCATACAAAATTTCATCGACTTTGAGCTCTGCTTAAAAATAAAGAAAAAATATATTCACAAAAATTGAAAATTTTTTGTGAATATGAATACTTAAAAAATTCTTTTTATTTCTAAGATATCATATTTAAACATAGCTAAGATAAACATAGATTCAGCTATATTTATTAGTCATACAGCAAGAAGAAGCCAAACAAGTTTTGAACTGAGCTGACTTTTGAAAGACAGCAAAAGTTCAACCTCGAGTCGCAAATTCTTGTTTTTTTTACTTAAACTCATTTATAAAATACCTAATTTAATGAAAAGGATTAAAAATAAAACTTTTAAACTTACCAAAATGAAAACTAACATAATTTTTAAGCAACTCAACTAAATCACAGATAAAATTTGAATGATGAATAAAATTCCAGTTTTCAAATCAAGACCTAAATGAAAAAAACCACTTTAACAAGTTTTTCGAATAATGTGTCACCAGCAAGCTTACTTTAACTCATTTACACATTTTAGTAGTTTAATTGAACTGCATTCCTACCTTTATCTCACACATTTCTTTTTTCACATTGTATAGTTTTTAATTTTTGCAGCTTTCATGCTAAATACAAACGTGCAATGCATATGTATGCTCCGGAAGCTACATATATGAATAAAAACAATAATTAATTTCAAAAGAAAAGGGTTTTCAATAAAAATTAATTTTAATATTCGAGTTTTATTTTTTAAGATTAATTTTTTTTTTGAATTTTTTGTAATAAACTCTACCGAATTGAAGAAATTTCAGATGAAGGGGGGCGGGGCGGGTTGTCTATTTCCTCGCCTTGAGCCTAATATTTTCCAATTTTATACCAACCATAAAACAATGCAAATTAAATTATTGAAAAATTTATATGGATTTTAAAATCTCTAAAAGCGCCATCTTACGAAAATTTTGGGCAATTTTGTCACTCGTATGTTATACTCACAATACATCAACATTTATTTTATTTTATTATATCTTGTAATCTCCAATAAGAATTATAAAAATGTTCCTAGAAAAAAAAAATGAATTTCATTTCATGTTTATATTATTATTATTATTATTAATATACTTATTATGGTGCGTTCATGTTTATATCTTGTCAAGATAATTTCAAAAACTATCAGAAAAATTTATAAGAAAAAACCACGTGACAAAAATCACAATTTTAACTTATTTTTATTTTCTCTATACAATATGATCGGAACAGTTATTGAAATTTTAAAACGTAATTAATCCTTTTTTAAATAAATTTTTCTGATAGCTTTTGAAATTATGTACACAAAACTGTTTGATTCATTAAATAAATTTAATCCAATCAATAAATAAAACCTTTTTAAAAATGTATAACATGTATAATATCATGTCAATGCATAACATTTTGTTACAATAATCTGATTTATTTCATACTTTTATTAGTCTTAAACCAAAAATTTAATGAAAATGAGAATAAATATGAGAATGAAGATGAGAATGTTTTCTTATTTTTTAAATCTGATTTAAAAATTTAAAAACAATTTATTCATTTCTTTTTATATAATGATTTATAAATAGAAATTTTGTTTAACAACAAATATAAATTATAAAAACAATGATTTTTTCTTTTTTAACTTTTAGTTTTTCAATTTAAAAATTTAAATTTGTGATTCTATGTGTTTGGAAAAATAAAATTATCTTTCGGCAAATCTCCGAAAAAAAATGAAATAAAATGCTATGCCTTAAAGCTGTTAAACAGGTTTTTGATCGGACTATCGTACTGTCGCACCGATTCAGCTGTTTTAAAAATATTTTATTTCCTTATTCAAAATTAAAATTCAATTTGAAAAATGAGTAAATGAAATATTCCAATTAAAATTAGAAATGCATTGAATATTTCTCAATTTAATTTTGATTTAATAAAAGGTGTAAAGAAGTTTATTATTAACAAATTCGGTAAGAAAATATTTATTTTTTGTTACTAAAGTTTAAAAAAGATTGTCAAACCAGAATTGAACGAATTTCATGTGAATACTGAAACTGACCTACGTGAAAAATAAATTTTTTTTCTCGAAGTATCAAGTGAGACAAACAGACATAGTACTGGTACTATTTTTTTTTTTGGTTAAAAAGCAAAATCGTGTTTTTTTATTTAGTCTTTAAAAAAAAACTCATATTTTTGCTACGTAATTTAGTGAAATTCAGATTAACTGAAAATTGTAAAATAACTTAGTGTAATTGATCAAAATAATGAAGTAATTTTATTTTAAAGTGTTGAAACATTCTAAAATCGCATTTTTAAAAAATTCTTAAACTCTTATTGAGAGCATTTATGGATTTCTTTCTTTCATAATTGCTGCACTAATCAAGTAAAATATAAAAAGAAAAAAGGAGTGATCTGAAATTTAATCAATTTCAAGAAAAGATGAATATGAGTAATCAAAAAAAAACCAATGCAAAAGATAAAAATAATCGTCAATTGAGAAGCATTTTTTAAAAACTAAACGCCATTTTGAAAAAAAAAATTGTTTCATTATTTTTGCGTTCACCAAAAGTTTTTATTTATAGCAGTTTAATGCACAGAACATGATAAATATAATAATGCGACTGAAGTGTAATTAATGATAACTCCATGCATCAATGTATTGGTTTTATTTCTTGATTTGGAATTTGTTAGGGAATTTAAGTCTTTTCTTACTTTGGGAAACTTCCGGAAACAACAATTTAGAGCGAATGAGCGAATCAATGTATTTTTTATGCTTTGAATTGATAAAAAAGATAAACAACAGAACAGAAAGGATTAAATCAAATAATATTCTAAGATTTATGAAACAAAAAAGATATTCTAAAGTTGAAGGTTGAATAATCCAAAAAACTAGATATTCCTTCTGAAATATTAAAGTTTGATTTATTCAATTAAGACTCGTGTTGAAGTGTATATAGAAAAAAATAATAAAATTTAGTCAATTTGAAGAACTGAAAATTATGACACAACAAAAAAGTGATTAATCAGTAAAAATAAAAATTGATAAGCGAGAATATGACTTATCAAGTAAAGCACATTCAGTTATACAAAGAAAAGAAAAAAAAAATTGGTGAGTTTAGAAATCTTTTCCATAACGTACTTTTAAGTTTCAAATTAAAAGCTGAAGGAATGGAACAAACTTCTGTCACATTCCCCGAGTGACACAAATCGAAATGATACTTCTTTGTTGGCGAAATTTCCATTTATGTCGCTCGGGTTGATGAAGTTCTCAAATAAAACTGAAATGATACAGAATGCCCTTTTTATTTTCACATTTCCCAATAAAAGTTTTAAGAAAACACAATTTCCGAGATGTTTATTAAATAACAAGAAAGTAAGGAACATAACATACTTTTTGATGATCTTGAAATATTATTCACGCAAAATTAAATTAACCACATTTTTGAATAAAGTGATCCTGCGTCCCATTCCTTCGATTAGTCGTGCAGTGGCAGCATCAACATGAATGCTAAAGTTATGAGTTACGTTGTTCCCCTCGTGAAAATCTACTAAGATTCTAGATGGGTCCAAATCATTTTCCGGGCCTATACGGAGTAAAATTCTATCCGCCTTATAATCTGCAGACATCTCTGTGTTCAATCCAATTAAAATATTTCCATCATATTGTATTCGTCCATCCCGTGGTCTTACATTTTGCATTTGAAGTTCCATACCTTAAGTTTTCATTTTAAAAATAAATTATTAAAACATTCAGGAATATATAAATTTTTAAATCGAACACAAGCATAACGGATTATTAAATTACAAAAAAATAAAAAATCATCAAGTGTCCCCCTTCTGTCGGCCTTCAAATTAATAAAAACTAGCTTTCCGGCTATTTTAAGCAAGATTTTTAAAACAAATAGTTTAAATTTTAAGTATTCAAGCGTTTGCCGAAAAAACTTTTTGATTTTAAGATCTATAAAATGTATAATTTTAAGTTTTTCTTCCAAAATCATAGTAAAATTTTGATAAAACGACATGAAGGACATGTATCTCTTTCTGCCAATATTATTAATATTTCATATTTAAAAAACATGAAAATTGATATTAACAACATATTATAAAGTTATTTTAGCGTAATATGAAAAGGCTTAATATAATTAAAAGACTTACCCAACGTTCTGTGTAAAATTTACTCCTATTTATCGTCTTAAACCTTTAAAAAAATTGTTATACACAAAAAAACTTTACGGCACCACAGATTTTTTTTATATTCACACCGTTTTTAAGTGTGAATTTGTTGGATTTGTTCAGATTAAAAAATCAGTTTTTCGCATTTTGTGAGAAAATTTTTTAAAGAATTTTCCTTAAACCCTAAACCTTCAAACATATGCTTAGCAAAGCTCAGCTGACTTGTCAAGTTTTATACCTTCAAACTTATTTTGATCAAATCTTGTTCTATCCATAAGACTTGTGATGGTACTGTGTGAATATATCCGCATTAAGTTTCTACCCGATTCACAGTTTGTTATTTTTGCCAAAATACTCCGCTCTTTCCAAAAGAATGACTCACCTACAAATTGCTCAATATACCTGATTTTACTTTATTCAGACAAAACACATAGGATACCATTAGAAGCATCCTAACATAATTTGTAGAATGTTGATTCAAGTCTCACTCTTAAGATCCGTCGTTCAAGTGAAAAGTACTTAAAGTAAGATTTTTGTAACTTTAAACCAATTGATGAACATCGAAAAGTGTTTAAAATATTGTTAGTGAACTGTTGAAGCGGTGAAGTGGCATCAGTGGCTTAAATGGTAGAGCGTTGGCTTGTGGGTTCAATCCCAGACAATGTTTAATTTTCGAAGGTCTTTTTCCATTTCCAATTCAAGCTAAGGTTCGTGTGTTGCATGTAATATTGATGTCTTTGGCACAGAATATGCCTCCTTTGCTAGGTATACAAGGATATACAAGCATCTGAATGACTTCTTAACGGCATTTTGAAATTACGAATTGTGACTAGGCACATTGCAGAGTGCGTCAGGTCTTATAACGTACTTGTGTCTTTGCAATGTGCAGAGCTTGCAAGTGGTTCGGATTCCACTATAAACTCGCAGTGCCTTGAGCTTAAAGGCTGTGCCCTTCACACATTTTTATTATTTGAAGCATAATGGATCGATAGTTTAGTGTTAGAAACTGCAATTTTTATAGCAATCCCTTTGTGGAATATATCCAATATCTCCAACATCATTTTTTGGTGATTTTTTTTCTTTTAATTTTATTTGATTCTTTATTGTATAATAGTTTAAAACTGTTTAATGCATTTGAAGCTGGTTCGATTTTTAACAGATTCTTTCAATCCTCATGACATTACCACAGCATTATGGACTTTATCATAGCGTTACGCTCATTTTAACGGCATCATCCTAAAAACTCATAAGAAGTTGCTTAAACTTATTAATTATATATAATTAAAATGTAATAATGCCATGACACGGTCTGGCTCTTAAAAGCTTAAAATAAAATAATAATAATAATAATAATAATAATCTTAGGAACTCAGTAAACTTTAATATGCTGGATTTAGATGTATTCAACAAATTTAAAATGAGAAATAAATATTATTATTTTGAAACAAACATTAGAATTTATTTTTTTATTAAGATAATATTTTCAGTGTTTAAATGATTTCAACCTTTTAGTGACTGCCACAAACGTGCATCCACAGTCTACGGTTAACAAAGACAATATGGAAAAAGTTCTTAAATGAGCTACAAATGAATATATTTATTGAATAAAAGTCATCTTTAGTTTCGATCTGCTGTACAGAATCAGCATTCATTTTAGCTTTAAAACAGCCACGGTTTATAGTTTCAGGTCCTTTAATTTATTTAAGCTTTGAGAATTTGCATTTTTCAGACTACCATTTAAATTGGAGATATTAAAATAGCTAAAAGGTAATTTTTTTAATAACTTTTATTACTTCTTGACTTTTGAATCATAAATTTACGAAATTTTCATTTAGATAAAATAAATTTTCTTGACATTTCAATTCTTTGCTATTAAAATTGCCTTTAAAGTCAAAAAAGATTATTCTACTTCCTCTTATTTGAACCTCTCCTATTCTTGAAATTGTTTCCTTTACTTCCAATTTTTCCTCTATCCTTTCTGCTTCCTGGATTGTTATCTTTAGGCTCAGTTCGAGGTTTCTTAAATGATTTCGTTTTGAATTTAGGTATATGAGGTCGTTTACGTCCACCAGATTTAATTGCATTTTCAAAAAGTTCCTTTTCAGGTTCCTCGCCAATTTCCTCTTTGTAATATTCTGTGTCATCTTCTGGGATATCATCAATAGCATCCTCAGCATCCTTCAAAAGCTTTCTATCACTTTCTGTGACTGTAAACTGCTTATTTCCAGTTTTCATTTTATGTTCATCCTTTAATTTATCTTTCTTTGATTTATTCTCATCCTGAACCTTCTTACGCTTATCTTTCAATATCTTCTTGTCAGCACGTCGCTTTCTCATTTTAAGAACCTCATCCACAGACTTGATTATTTCATTGTGATACAGAACTTCTCCAGTCATTAAATCAGCTTCAATTTTATACAATTCAAATGTAATTCTTGGACCTAATTCCCTCAAACGAATTCCAGACTGTCCTGCTTCAACATTTCCTTTCTTTAGTGCCTGACTTAATGTCACATTAGATTCCTCGTCTTCAAACTCTGATTCTGATAACATTTGACTTTTAAGGACGAAATCTGATATATCTTCAAACTTATTCATGTCAGGGATTTTCTTCATAGCTATTTTCTTAATTGCACGATTGACTCCAGTTGGAACTACCGTTATGGCAAAATGTCTCATTTCTACAAGTTTTGTTGCTGGATTATATGAAAATAAAACACATCGTTTAATTGATGATAGCTTAATTGTCGTGATATTTAATGGTGGGAACATGTTTTGAAATGTCTGTGCCATCAATTTCGTATGGTTTCCTTCGTCTGTAAAGTTGTTAAGGATAACTAATGGAGCATGTTGGAAGGAAGATTCCTCTACAAATTGTTTCTTTAATGATGATAACACATCCTTTGCTAATATGAATGAATGGACTCTGAATGACAATGTAGGACCTTGTGGCATTCTTGATATCTTCATGGATAAGCTCTTTGCTGATCTTGTAAAAATGCACATATGTGAAACATGGAAAATTCCTGATAAACTCACGAAATCCTTAATCTTGTTGGTTTTCTTTTCTTGTAGATTAATAGCTGTGAATGGCTCCATAATCTTTCGGAAATCTCTTGATAAACTGACTAAATATCCGCATGATAATCCACGATGTATGACAAATGTGTGTGGAGCATTTTTAAGATCCAATGGTTCATCAAATCTAAAAATTAAGGTTTTTAATGCTTTTTATGGATTACTTGATGCTGCATTTGATATACTTACGTTTTTGGAGTCTTTTGTGGCTTGTTCTTTTTTCCTTTTTTGTTCTTCATCGTGTTAATTTAATTAAATTGCAGATTTTGTTTTTTTTTGTTTTTATTTTGTGTTTTTAAACTTTTTAAGGTTAATTTAAATCTGTTATAGCCGTTATTTTGCGGTTCAATTTTTGAACTTCAATTAAAACTTCAAAACAATGTCAATGTGACTGACACTTTTCAAAACAAAATAAATGGCTCTTAAGAATTTCTCAAGATTTAGCCAGTTGTACTTTAACAGCATCCTACGATCATCTAGTATAACATCCAATGCATTAAGTAGAAGCTTTATAACTTTAACTATCAATAATAAAAGCTATCCAGCACTCAAAAATGGTACAAACTCAATCAGCTTAGTCTGTGAACAGAAAAGGTACAAATATGATAAAAAAGGATCAACAAAGCAGTCGGCAGTAAGTTAATAAGTTATATAACATGATTATACTATAATTAACAAGGAATGTTGCATTTTAGGAAGTAGATTCCGATGATGAATTAAGTGAATTCGATGATGTTGACAAGCAGAAAATAGCAAAAATAAAGGTGCAATCTTTACGTGCTGATCTGCTGCTTAAAGTTGCTCTTGGAATAGCTCGAAACAAGATTGAGGCTTCCTTTTATGAAGGGAAAATTCGACTGAACGGGAAGAAACTTTCGAAGAAAAGTGTTCATGTGAGTTTGTGGGCTATTTAAATGGTTTAGTTGTAGATTTTATGTGGTACTGGATTGATATTAAGCTTTAGATCATGTCTGCAATGAGAATTTCTACTCCTTTTGTCTTATTTCATACTTTACTGGATCTTGTGAATCCAAGTTTTTGATCATTCATAATCCACTTTATATCCACAAATCATCAAGGTATATCCTAAAACCTTCCATATTTCTAGTGTAATGAAGGAGATGTCCTAGATATCATCAAAGGAGACAGTCCTACGAATTCAGAACATTTTGTAATAGGAAGACTAGAGATTTTATCAGTTGAAACTGACGGTGAAGAGTTCATCTACTTGACAGTCAAACGATTCAAGTCGCTCACTGTTGAGAAAGAGGAATTTAAGCATCATCAATAATTGTAGTACAATTAAACTAGAATTTGAGTCAATAAATTTTTATTTTAAAATTAACGGTTGAAATATTTTTAAATTATCATTTTTAAAAAATACATTTATTGTCTTTTGTTTTGATTTGATTTGTCGGTCTGTCAAAAATTCATAGATTTTCAAAAAAAATTAATTAAAAATGGATTTTGACACTAAATGTCCTGGATATTATTGTGGTAGAATGCCATTACCAAATGATACATTTACTGACTGTGGTTCTTGTGATCGTGGCTGGAAGAGAAATGATAAATTCATCTGTGTAAAGTGCGATGATAAATTGGAACTTTACGATCTTCTATTTCTTGCTTTTAATATCATCGTTCCGTTCCTAATTCACCTATTTCTGATCGATTACACAACTAAAACACCTAAAAAGTAAGTCAATGAACTAGATCCAGTAAAGCTAATGTCATTGATTTGTGAATTTTGTTACAGATTTTCAAAAGAAATTTTCCTGTTGTATCTTTGTGCTATTTTTGAAGTTGGGCTTTCAGCATTGCTGTCTGTGCTCTTGACTGAACCGAAATTCTCATTTGAGATTCATTCCTGTGGTGTTAGCAGTATTAGTGACTTTTATACCTATTTTGTGAGTATTATGGGAAGTTTGTGACTTATTAAGAAAGCATATTTGTTGAATGGAGTACATAAGGCTTAAAATTATAGATTTGAAGTCAGTAGCACATCAAAATGACTGTATATAGCAAAAACAAAAGATCCAGTGACTAAACTCATTCAACATCAATTCACAGACTAATCCATGAACTTTTCTTTCCAATTCCAGTTTAATCCATCGCCAGGATATGAGAAAACTCTAATATGCACACAGGAACGCGTATATCCTCTACAAACATTAGTCCTCATATTTTATGCTTCTTGTGTCTTCTTCATGCTTCTGTTTCGTCCAATTCTTAATGAAAGGTACTGCAAGAATAAAGTGGAACGAGCGTCGCTAGCTGTCTACTATGGATTATATGCATTTCCATTATTAGCATTAATCTATGCAGTCGCTGGAGGTTTCATTTACTTCTCATTCCCGTACATCTCGCTTATAATAAGCTGTGCAGTCAACGCTGGACATTTTGCTATGAAACAAGACCAAGACACAAAACAATTGCTGATAAGCTCATTAACAAGTATTCGTAATGTTATAATTATTGGTAAGTTTGGACGTCAATTACGCATTTCTTGACAGTTAATTAATTTATCATTTTCAGTTGGTAACTGGCTGTTATTTTCGTTTGGAATTGTGTCTATTAAAAAGTATTATTTGTTGCTACTCGCACCAGTTCCATCAATATTTTACATCATTACTGCGAAATTTACTAATCCTGAGAATTACTGATATTTATTTGACTAGGCTAGGAGTGCTACAAATTAAATTAATTAAAGATTATTTTGTGATTTATTAAATAATGACTAAGGAAATATGAATAAAAATATTGATCTGTGTATTTTATTGAAATTTTCGGACATTTTTATCTGGCGAGCAACTGTTGCGCTGACAATTTTATGGCGAGCAACTATTGTGATAATATTTTTTATGGCGAGCAACTGTTGCGCTGACAATTTTATGGCGAGCAACTGTTGTGCTACATAAGTTTCATGTTTCATGTGACTGTTGTTTGTGCACAATTTTTATTATTCGCAACTGTTTCTGTGAAATTTATGTGGCACGCAATGTTGTATTGGAATTGATTTGTACATAGCTAGCTACCTGATTCCCAAACACATCAAAATGCGATCTCTTCCATATCTTCATTATCCAATCGACACACAAAGAAGCTGTCAAAAATTCTACGAAATAATTTCACATGCTAAGTTGACTTTACATTATATCCATTATTTTCCATGTAACTCAACAAACAGAAAAGAAGTAGAAATTTTAAATACAATGACTTTTAATAATAAAAAAATGAAGATATCAATAAAGCTTTAAATGAAATGTATCGATAGAAATTCTCAACATAATTCATGCTTCTCGTATTAATGTAATAGCAAACACACAAAAAAAGAGTAAAAGAAGAAATAAAGTCAATTTAGTAGACTCGTTCCATCTGTTTGTTAGCGGACACCTACGAAAAAAAATATCATCAAGTATTGTACTTTCAAAAAGTGACAAAGATGGATCACATATTAGCCAGCAAGAATTTTCGTTGTTGTTTTGTTTTCGATTTTTGAAATGAACGTAAGAAAAAGTTTGAATGGAAGTGAAGAACAAATTAGATGAGTAATGAAGGGAGACGGGAATGGAAAGCATTAATCGAGGGAGTTGAAGGGTTTCTCAGAACACCCAGTCCAGGGAACTGAGTAAGTAGCATTGAATATTGATGTACTGTTCTTTGGGGTGTAAATACAATTGACTTTTCGTAAGGTAGTGGAACTATAGGCTTTCGAACTGGCCTTAACGTTGGTTCCTCCAGCTTCTTTGGAATCACGTAACATTCAACTCTACTTTCCATTCCTCACCCAGCCTTCTTATTTAAGTTGATACCCAAACTGAACTCCTCACATCTCATTCATCTCCGAAAAATCAGCTACCAAAATGGTAGAAGGAAAACTGTCAGACGAAATGTGTCCATTATACACAATAGCTATAGTAATGCCAAATAATACATATGTAACTCATGTGCTGAGAACAACACTTTTCGCTTCACAGGGGGTTTTGAATTTTCCGGTGGTAGTGATAGACGTGTTTTTTTTATATTCCTTCTTTTTATTTCAATCTCAGGCCAGTATTAAGGCCTACTTGAATATTGTTGTTTTCGAGCTCTTTTTTATTGAACTACTCTCATGGGTATTTATACGATGATCGTACACGTACTTTTGTTGCGTATATCCTTCTTGTCTCACATACTTTCTAACAAATAACTGACAGCAATGAAAATTCTATGTGACTGGGAGTTTTGGGTGTGTTGTTGGGTTTGATTGGAGGTTTGGGTGGCTGGCTATAAGAGAGATTGAGGTTTTTGGATGATTTGTGTAATTAATTCATTTATTTTGAGTTTTATAAAGTTTTATTATTTGTAGAAAAGCGTATTTATTTCAAATTAAATGCATTTTAGATTGCGAACTGTATTTTAAAATTTAAACATTTTTACAAAGCTATTTTACCACGTGGTTTGTCAAATTTAATAAATAATATCAATTTTCGCATCAGAAACCCGTTTAAACTTTAAAAACTGCATTTGTAACAATTTTTGCTATCTTTTTGTTGCATAATTTTAGTTCATTATCAATTTTTCGTTTATATTCTACGATTTATCATTAAAAAACTTTTTCAGGTGAGAAATTTTTGCCATTTTGAAAAATTCAAAATTGTTTTGGAAGTTTTCATCGAGCAATAAAGTTTCTTGTAAGAATTTCATTTCGAAACGGCAAATTCTTTATTATTTTAAGCTTGAGAAACACAGACTAATCAAGATTGCAATAAAAATGCGCCCAAATCACTCAGCTTATCATCCCAAACAACAACATTTCCTACCAATTTTTTTTTTCTTCATTCCATTTTAGTATTTGCAATTTCCCTTTTCATTCTTCTTTCTTTTACTCTCTCTCAGCAGCAAAAAAAGCAGCAGTATATTCCCTCCCTTCATCACACAAAATGTGTCGTTGAAATTTGTTCTATATTGCTGAGAAGATTGATCACTTCTCACATTCCTTTTATTCAATATTTTCTCTCTACTTTTTTCCCATTTTTTTTTCTTTAGCTGAATGTCAACGCATATTAAAATAATTTAATTCTCTTCTTATTTTCTTTATGAGGACGTATCTAACATCTTCATATAATTTAACGTTATGCTCTTTTCTCTTCTTTTTAGGATATGCCATTTATTTATTATTTCTTAGATGTTATTAAGTTTTTTTTGTGTTGTTTGTGCTTGTTATTAATACATATTAGTTTGTTAAAGTCTCGCATTAAAGTTATGAATTGGATGCTGGGTAAAATGTTGGTGAAGGAAGATTTTTGGAATCCATTTAGTTTTGGAGAAATTATGAAATTTATTTTGGAAGTTTTCTTTAAATTTCAAGTGAATCATTAGTTTAATCCTTAGTTTGTAAGTTGCACCAATCATATGAAAGATATTCTTTTTTGAATGCTCCCTATTACTTGGTTCCATTGCTAATTGTTGTCTTTCAGTTCTTTAATTCTAAGTTTAATACTCCTTGAAACTAGATGAAGGCCTAGTTGATTCTTTATCAACATCAGATCCAATTTTCTCGTGAAATCCAACATATGAGATCAAGAGATTCAATCTCATTTTGACTTGGAAATGTTTATAAACAAAAACGCAAATGCTTTAAACTGAATTGACTTTAAACTCATTTTCTTTACCTTGCGACGGCAAATTTGACAATTAAAAATTCACATGAATAATAATTATTTGATTTTCGAAATGTTCATTCAAACTGCATTAACATCAGCTCAAAACTTGATTCCATCGTTCATTAAAGTTCTCCATTTTATTGATGATCAACCTTAAAATATTGCTAAGATTCCAATAATTTCAAATTACTTATTACTGCAAAATAAAATCCTCATAAATATTTTTTTTTTGCACCAAAACCTTTCTAGGACTTCCTCATCAACAGCATGTTGCCTCACACAGATTGTTTACAGAAAAACAACCACAAATTCCTCTTTTGTCTAGCAACTCGCATCATGTTGTGAATTCAAAAAAATAAAAATAATTCTTAGGTGCCAATAATCGTGCATAATCTCCTTTGAGATATAAATCCATTCATGAAATATTGAGGAACAATACATTTAATCCGTTGGAAAGAAGGTAAACAATCCCTTTAGGAGAAAAGCAGCATGTTTGACTTTTCTATGCTAATTCTTTCTATTATTGAATAAGAATATGCCTCAATGTATTAAGACATACGTGTGAGGTATGGATTTATATTGACGACTATTCTAAGAATATTGATCGTTTAAGTTCCGTGAAATTGGCTGTGTAAACACTTGTAAAACTTCTGATGATGATTTGCATTTTTCTTAAGATCTGTTGTTGCGTGTTATGCACGTGAAATTGATATAAATCCTTTGGGTATTTAAAGACTTATGAGTAATAGTCGTAAGACTATGATTCTTATCGAAAATATTGATATCTTTGTTTTAATTTGAGAAATAAGATATGAGGATTAATCATATGACATATTTATGGATTGAGAATGTTTTGTAGACAATGGATTTACAGAGTTTTGAGAGGATTATATTGAGGAACTAAAATTAAAAGGATTGAAAACTTCAGGAACATAAAATTCAAGAGAATAAGCTCAACAGAATTGCGAATGTCTCAGAAAATGATTTAGGAAAGAGAAGTTAACCAAGTTATTTTAGTTTAAAAAGTTTCAGATACTTAACAATAAGTTTTTTAACAATTAGATCAATGTATGTTTAACTTATGCTTAAAAATTGATTCTGCATCAATTTTAACCTTCAAATATTCCGATTCAGACTCTACAGGATATAGAGCTAGCTTGCATTTTGTCAAATTGTCAGAACATTTTTCGAATATCATCAAATTTAATGAATATTTGTTTTTAAAGTAATATTTCACTCGGTTTCTTATTGAATCAGTTTTCTAACTTGATCTTCCTTAGTTTTTTAAAAATCAATTATAGTCCATTTAGGTTAGATTTACAAATTTGAATTTTTTTCGCATATTTTCCATTAAACTGACACTTTTTCTCATTATAAACTTGCTTGCTCATAAAAGAAGATTCAAATGGCATAAATACCACTGAGAACTGATGAATACAGTAAGAATAAATCAACTCTAAACATTCAATGTGAGCAATTCAATAAAAAATTACAAAATTTATCCAATGTCAATTATGAAGTTGAAATTTTGAATATTGTAATAGCACAAACAACATTTCAGCGCCAGTCAATGCCAACAAGTCTGATGTTTTACATAAAAGGTACTTAACCCAACCTTATCTTAATCTTTATCCAAAGATAATCATTAAAACCTAATCTCAAGAATAAAAGTTTTAATTATTTTTCCTTATCTTGCAATATTTCACAAAATCAAATCTTGAGCATTGCACCTCAAAATTATCTATCCATATTATCACCATAGAATTACGTTAATGCTCGAAGAGTGACATCAAAAAAACATTTTCAATAATAATATCATAGCTGAAAATATATATTTCATTTCCACAAAATCCACAAGCACCCCACACAAATCCCACTTAATCCATATAAGATTTATTTTTGGGAGGTAAAAAAAAGGTAAATGTTTTCATACGTGTGACTGATAAACAGCCATAATGAAACAAACCCGCTGATATCGCAACTAAATACATATACATTGTGTAATATTAAAGAGCTGCAGCATTAAATCCTGACTAAATATTAAACAATCGACTTGTGATATCCCCAAGAGGAAATGTGACATCGCCACATGACATCGATGAGAATGTAAAAATTGATTTTTAAACAACTGTAATTG